TTTAAGTCTTCTTTTTTATTTTATTTTATTTATTTATTTTTGTGAACACACTGTACAGAGGGGTTACAATTACATGGGCAGGTTAATGCGTACATTTCTTATCAAGCATTTCAGCCTCCTCCTTTGTTTACCCTTCACATCCCTTCCCAGCCTCCCCCCCCCCCCCCCCCCCCCCGCACCAACATTGTAAAGCTCGTTTTCGACATGACAACTTGTTAAGTCTTCTTTTTTTTAGGCCTGAGATAGGGACTCAGTTTCTCACATGCTTGTTGGTTGGTGCTCTACCAACTGAGCCACACCTCCAACCCCATGTTTATTATTCTACCAATCTATCAAAATTCCTTTAAAATACATTAGCTAGCCATATACATTTATATATTATAATGCATTTTATGTAAGTGGAATCCTTTAGTTTGTGCTAACTCATGATGTCTAGCTTCTACTTCACAGTATATTTTCGGGACCAGTTTATATTTTAGGCATAGCTGTAGTTTATTTATTGTCATTGTATTCTGTTTTATGACTATAATTGAGGTATATTTATTTATTCTGCCAATGATAAGACATTTGTTTCCAGCTCTGGGCTACTATATATGATGTGGCCATGAACATTCTTTTACAGACTTTCTACAAATCTTTTATATATATATGTGTGTATATATATATATATATATATATATATATATATGTATTTATAGCATAGATACTCCTGTTATGAACAGACTATTAGAGACATTGACCAGGCACTGGAATGCTGAGTCGTGGAACATGTACTTGTTTCATATGAATAGATGATACTAAATTAGCTCCAATATGACTGAACAAATTTATAAGTCCACCACATTTTTGTAAAAGTTCCTGTTGCTCCACATCCTTGCTTAATAGTTGGTATTACTCAGTTTGTTGTAATTTCCTTTGTACCTCTTTTACCTCATCATTTTCATCTTGGGCTCTTGGCTTTCTCTAATTCAACTTCTTTTCCTGCACTAACTTGATCTGAAGCTAAATCCTGAGCTGATCACTCACTTGGATGCTCAGACACCAGGGTCATGATCCAGATTTGACAGTCTCTCTGCGGATCTACTGCTGCGGATTTCACAGCACATGTCAGTCACACCACACAAAGCCAGCTTTTCCTCAGAGCAAAGGGAAGCGTCACCAGGTCTCTGGTGCTTTTCTGTCACACCCTAGATAATGCACTGGAATTTTCTTGGTTCAGAAGGTTCAAAGATTTGCTGTGATAAGACCTCCTGCTGGATGGTACCACAATGGAAGGTATATGTTGGAGATGCCATTGGCTTATGTTCTAACCAAGTATTCGTTTTTGCCTGTTGAGGAATGCCATTACAATGGACCTGTACAATATGTGGCCTTATCTCAAAGCTTCTATGTCTTACATTCTTAAGATTGACCAGTGTTTAGTAGTATTAATGTCACTTAGTATACATTAATATTAATTCCTTTTAATCTGCTGGTATTCCATTACCACAGTTTTTACTGTGGTAACTTTTACTGCTGGAAACTAGCCCTTTTCCAGTTTTAAGCAATCGTAATTACAACTTTTGTGAAGATTCTTGCTTCTTTTCTTTTCCAAAAGTATATTGTGATATTAGTATAGGATGTCACTCTTTGGCATTTATTTTTTGTATAATACAACATATCCCCCTATTTAATCTATAAATTTGCTCTCCTTTCTATATTTAGATGTGTTTCTTAAAACAGTATGTAGTTTTTATTTCAGTCATTCTGATAACCATTGTCTTTGGGGCAATCTACTAAAAATCTTCCAATCGATGTATTTGGGATTAAACTTAATGTTACTATTTTCTACTTGTCACACACTTTAATGTTCAATTTCCTTCCTTCTCTCTTTTAGATCAAGTAATTTTAATTTTTATCCTTTTCCTCTGATACTTGTCCATAGTCATATGTTGTTACTATTCTTTTGGTAGTTACCATAGAGATTAAAGCATACATTCCAGATTCATAAGAGTTCAGTGGCTAATTTTATTCTGCCCTTCTTTTAAGAGCCTCAGAAAATTTAAATACGTGTGCTCGTACCCACTTCCACAAAGTTTTTTTTTCTTTTTTTTTCTTTTTTTTGGGTCCAGTCGTGGGGCCGGAACTCTGGGCCTGGGCGCTGTCCCTCAGCAGTTCAGCTCAAGGCTAGCACTCTACCACTTGAGCCACAGCGCTACTTCCGGCTTTTTTCTTTTTTTTGCTTATGTGGTGCTGAGGAATCGAACCCAGGGCCTCAGGCATGCAAGGCAAGCGCTCTACCACTGAGTCACCTTCCCAGCCCCTCCACAAAGTTTTATCTATTGCATTGCCTACATTTTCCCTCTATGGTGTTGTCATTGATTCCTCCCATTATTATTCATTTAGATTATTCACATATGCCCATCTTATGTTATCATCTTCTCTCTATAGCTGAACCCTAGTTATATATTCTTAGTTTTACTTCAGTATATACTATGGTTAAAACGATCAATTTTTGTATGTCACAATCCTATTTGGCAGTTGGCTGTCCTGTCTGAGGATATTCTCTCTTGACTGGGAATGCTATATTTTCCTTTATTTCCGGCGTATGAGATATATAGTTCCTTATTTCCTACCCTGTGACTATTCCAACTACACATCAAATATGATGTGATAATATCAATATGAAAATCACATCTTCTCAAAGTGGTTAACCTGCCATTTCATGGATGAAGTGAAAGAAAAATTTTCTACATATTAAGTATATTCAAATTATAGCTACCCTAGCTAGATGATTATGCAGATTTTTTTTTTTTTTGCAGTACGGTGATGAAATCCAGGCTTTTGCTTATGCTAGGCTGGTGCTCTTTTACCAAGTTCCATTCCCAGCTCTGCAGTATCACTCTTGACAGTACACTGACATCAAACCCTCATAATACACAAAAATGCAGAACTATTATTTAAATCCTAAAGGGTCAAGAAATAGTAAAGGTTTAGGAAACGAGGCATGGGAGTGCATTACTTTGGCAAATGGGTAGAAGGTGATAAGGCCTTGAAAGCCATGTTGAAGGAACTGAGTGCTTGACAGACTACTCCACATAGTTTTGTTTTTCAGAACCTATATAATTAGGATCAAATGGCCTTTTCTATCACAAAGCTTGAAGGGTTAAACAAATATAATTGTTCTAAATTCCTTAGTATATATATGTATATATGTATTCTTTTTAGAGTTTTCTAAATTCCTTAGTATATATATGTATATATGTATTCTTTTTAGAGACTGCATGTGTGTGTGTGTGTGTGTGTGTGTGTGTGTGTGTGTGTGTATGTGTGTATGTTTTGATCCTGGGATTAGGGGGGCTTGAACTTAGGGTCTGGGTGCTGTCTCTGAGCTGTTTTGCTCAAGGTTAGCTTTCTGTCATTTGAACCACAGTTCAACTTCCAGCCTTTTGGTGGTTAATTGCAGATAAGAGTCTCATGGACTTCCCTGTCTAGGCTGGCTTCAAACTCTGATTCTCAGATCTTAGCCTCCTGAGTAGCTAGGGTCACAGATGTGAGCCACCCATGCTTGGCTTTAGAATATTTTTTTACAGGAAAGAAACTTCTTGCTGAGTGTTGGTGGTTTTACATCTTTAGCTCTAGTCATGTTTTTTTTTTTTAAATAAATGTTGTAACTATACTCTTTTTCTAGAATCTTTTCTTTCATTGAGTAATTATTTTAAAATTAAAAATTTTAATTATCAATGTTTCCATTTAACATTATTTTCTTGTGTTTTGAAAATACATAAAGAGAATTCTAGAAGATAAAGGCAATATATCACATTGCTATTAGTATTAAAATTGATTCGTGACTAGAAACATAGAAATGCATATAAACATTGAATTTAGATGAATTATTTTTTTCAAGCATGTAGGACTTTAACAATTATAAAATCCTTGGCTCAGCAATGGTGCTGCTGATGCCTATAATCCTACTTCCTCAAGAAGCTGAAATCTGGAAGATCAAGGTTTGAAGCCATCCTAGGCAAATAAAGTTGGCTTAGATGCATTTCCAAAATAATCAAAGAAGAGTGCTGGAGGCACGGTTCAAGTGGTAGAGAACTTGCCTAGCAGAGCAAGAAGCCCTGAATTCAAATCCCACTGCTGCCAAAAAAATAATAGCCCACAATGTTTTGCTTGTTAAGTATCCTGGCATCTTGGGAATGGTAGATAAATGTTAACACAGAAACACTCTTAATAAACAGTCATTTTCTGAAGAGGTTTGAGTCAGCTAATTCTCAGTCTTCAATGTGATATACAATATATGCTTTTGACACATTAAAAATTGAACCCATTATCGATCACACTTAGATGCTTTCATTTTTTAGATTCATACCCACTAGTGATCTTGCTCACTATTACTACAGGCGACCTTGCTTCTATCACTAGAAGCATTAATAAAAGATGGACCCTAGTAAGCCCAGATATCATTCAAGTTCTATTTACCTACTGTCAGTTCTCAATTAAACATATTTTCTGATTTCAAGAACATTGTCTCCTAGATGACATGTCGCAAAATGAAGAAGACGGAGAGCGTGGGGCGGGTGGGCATATTTTCCTTTTAATAGTAATTTTCTTTGTACAGCACAAATAATTTGCTGCTTCGCGCACACAGTCTAATGATTCTGATTATGGATCAGGATGAACAATGGGAGAAGGTGGAAAGCTAATCATTGATAACCATATTATTTTTGATCTACTTATGCTATTGATTTCATTTACTTCCTTGTGTCCTTTGGTTGACAGTAAACAAAAGACACTGTTGATGGGCTAAGTGGATTTCCATGAGTAGAAAAAGTTGGGTTGACTGGCTGCTGTTGCTGCTTGCATGTAGGGGGAGCTCAGATGACCAGAGCTCCTCAAGCAGCCTTCTCCATCAACAGTATGGCCTAAGGACCCTGAGATGGTTGACCATCTGGTGGACTCTCATGCTCATCCAGACCTTGCCATGTTATGAGCAGCAGCCAGTTTTAACTTCCTCTTTACTTGTTCATGATGGGGAAGAATGAAGCAGCCAGATTTATCTGTGGGACTAAAGTTCTTTTCAGACTCCTCTTCCGTGTTACCTGTGAAGTAAGGGCACATGAATTAGTGGCTGGCATTATGTGACACTTTTCCAGAGCTAACTTTCACCATGATAGATTTTAATATTTAGCATAAAAGCAGAGTTATTTTATTAAATCCTGTATGACTTCAAGGAGAAGACTGTAGGAGGTGGCTCATGCCTGTAATCCCAGCTACTCAGGAGGCTGAGATCTGAGGATCTCGGTTCAAAGCCAGACCAAGCAGGAATGTCCTGAGACTCTGATCTCCAATTAACCACCAGAAAACCAGAAGTAGCAGAAGTAGCACTGTGACCCGGGGTAGAGCACTAGCCTTAAACTGAAGAGCTTAGGGACAGTGCCCAGGCCCAGAGTGCAAGACATACAACCACCACCACCACCACCAACAACAAAAAGTAGGAGGTAGGGCTGCTGAAGAGTTGCTCAAGGAAGTGGTGCTGTAGCTCAAGTGGTAGAGTGCTCGCCTTGAGCTGAAGAGCTGAGGGACAGCGCCCAGGCCCAGAGCTCAAGCCCCACGACCGACCAAAAAAAAAAAAAAAAAAAAAAAAGGTATGAAGAGTTGCTCAAATGGCTTAGCCATTCTGGAGGACGACGAAATAATCTGGAAAGGACGGATTCAAAACAAAACAAGGGACACTGTTTAGCTAATTAAGGATGAGTATTGCATTCATAACACTGGAGTCTTCTGAATGGTAGGAAAATAAAACCAGTTGGTGATCCCACAAATGAGAAATGAATTGAATTATTCTGGGAAGAAATAAACATAGAAGTTTAAATTCAGGGCCTAGGAAGGTGGCTCAGTGGTAGAGTGCTTGCCTTGCATGCATGAGGCCCCAGATTCGATTCCTTAGCACCACATAAACAGAAAAAACCAGAAGTGGCACTGTGGCTCAAATGGTAGAGCATTAGCCTTGAGCTCAAGAGCTGGGAGACAGTGGCCAGACCCAGAGTTCAAGGTCCACGACTGACAAAAACAAAAACAAAAAATGTTTAAATTCATTTAGTTAAAAAAATTGGATTGCTAGGTATTAGTGACTCATGCCTGTAATCCTGGTTTATCAGGAACCTGGATCTGAGAATCCCAGTTCAAACCCAGCCCAGGCAGACAAATCTGAGAGACTCTTTTCTCCAACTAGAAAAAAATCTAAAGATAGACATGTGACTCAAGTGGTAGAGTAGCAACCTTGAACAGAAAAGCTAAGGAAGAGGCCCTGAGTTCAAGCTGTATTATGGTCAATAATAATAATAATAATAATATAATATAATTGGGTCAAGAAATAGCTAATTTTTTTTCAGTTTTGTTCAACCAGCATTTTACCACAGGCACCATCTACATGTATTTATGGAAATGTATCAGGGCTTGGTTGTATGTGACTTTGCAACACATATCGATTACTTTTATAGTCTGAGGAAAAGAAGTGAGGAATAAAAGGGATGAGGAAATGTAACACTAAAGCTTCAAAGGTCCAGATTCAGGTTTGGATCCCACAGAGAAAGGGGAGGAGGCTCCGTTCGCTCAATCAGCACACCAAGCCCTAACTACACATTTCAATTTCATTATTTCGTTTGGACTTTTTTTTTTTTCAGTGTTTCAGTTGTCAGTTTCTTCTAAATGTTGGTGTTAAAAAGAGAATAAGTGAGATGAAGTTTGTTTGTACCTTTCTGGATTTTACATTTTAGTAGAAAAAAGTGACTTTTGAAGAAAAGATGCCATGGAAAATGTTGTCAGAAAAAAACAACAACAACAATGATTTTATGGCACAATGGCAGCTGGAGATCAGAGGATTTGAAGGAACCTAAAGCTGGGTGAGGGTATGACAGGGAGGAAGGGATTTGTCAATGTTCATTATCTAAACATTCTCAGGCTATTCTTTGTTGGAGAGTCTCAGCAGCTCTAATATCCCTGAATTATATACTATTATATTTTAAGATTCTGGCAGTAAAGTCAAACTTGTCATTTTTGTTGTTGTTTTTTGTTTCTATTTGTGCCCATCCTGGGGCTTGAACTCAGGGTCGGGATGCTGCCCCTGAACTTTTTAGGTCAAGTGCTCTACCACTTGAGCCACAATTCCACTTTTGATTTACTGGAGATAAGAGTGTTATGGACTTTTTTGCCTGAGCTCGTTTTGAATTGCGATCCTCAGATCTCAGTCTCCTAAGTAGCCAGCATGAGCTACCAGTACCCGGCCAATTTGTAGATTTTAAGCCCTGCTCTATGACAAATCTACAAAAGGTGAAAGATATTCTGTCAAACAATATATACCAAATGCAAAGTATTGGCCTAAGCACATGAATTTGATGATAAATATTAGCCATTGTCATTGACAATATTACTGAATTTAAGTGTGCGATTTTCTGAAGATAGAGTTTAAGCCCCAGTACCAGCATGAGAGAGAGAGTGAATATAGCACGGATGAAAGCAAAAGATATATTAAAAAATCCTTTGCGTCTAAACAAGTAAGTTTTCATTCTTGATGATCTCTTATGAATTATAGTAAAGTCAATTGCTTATCTGAGTGTAGGTTAGTCATTATGCATCTAGATAACCACTACTACTAATTTTTAATTTTCTTTTCTTTTTTTAATTTTAATTTTTTTATTGTGAAAATACTGTACAGAGGAGTGACAATTACATGGACAAGATAACGAGTACATTTCTTATCAAGCATTGTTGCCTCCTCTTTGTTTCCCCTTCCCATCCCTTCCCATACTCCCTCCACCTCCCCCCATACCTGATCCTCTCCCCCGACCAAAGTTGTAAAGTTCGTTTTTCGACATAACGACTTGTACATCTCATTGTTGCAATGGGTCCACCTGTATCCCTACTTAAATGATTTGTTTTTGCCCTTCCCCTCCACAAATTATACCAACATCAAATACAGTGAAAGTAGGGGTTATACCATGGGGAGAGGGACATACAAAGCAACAAAAAAATCATCTTATAAATATGTTAGAAACAATTGCATGAAAGAAAAATATATTTGAATACTTATCTTGGGGTTCATTCCCCTGACATCAACTTATCTGACCTTTTTTGCTTGACTCAGACATATTCTAGTTATTGCAAATAAAAACCATGGGACCTATGTTTCTTTGGGCCTGGCTTATTTCATTTAATATTATTTTTCCAAGTCTTTCCATTTCCTAACAAATGGGGCAATGTCATTCTTTCTGATGGAGGCATAGAATTCCATTGTGTATATATACCACATTTTCTTGATCCATTCATCTACTGAGGGGCATCTGGGTTGGTTCCATATCTTAGCTATGGTAAATAATGCTACAATAAACATAGTTGTGCTGGTAGCTTTAGTGTGGTCTTGTTTGTGATCATTTGAGTCAATGCCCAAAAGTGGGATTGCTGGGTCATAGGGAGCTCTATGTGGAGTCCTTTGAGGAACCTCCAGTAGTGCTGGTAATGCGACCAGGCCCTTCCCATGCTAAGCCAGCTAGTCTTCTACCCTGAAACTCATCTCTAACCCTTCGTGGCTAATTTGTGTGTGTGTGTGTATGTGTGTGTGTGGGGGGGGTGTCCTGGCAGTAGAACTCAGTGTCTAAGGGCTGTCCTTAGCTTTTTTGCCCAAAGATAGAACTCTACCACTTGGGCCAAAGCTCCACTTCTGGATTATTATTATAATTGAGGATGTGCTTCATGCATGTTCCTGTCTTCAATCCTCAATCTTCAGATCTCAGCCTCCTGAGGAGCTAAAATTATAGGTATGAGCCACTTGTTCCTAGCTCAAGGTTAAATGTTAATTTCTCATTGTCTTCTGTTTGTTGCTTAAGACATATTTGGTCACATTCTTCTTGTCAATATATTCTTAGAAATGTAATGTAAGTATATTTAATATTAAATGAGAAATTTTAAAGAAGAATCTATAAAACATACGAATTATAAAGCCTAACAATTCAATTTTTGATTAGCACTTAGTTTGGGATAATTTGTACTGTTGCATTACATCCAGTTTTCAAAACAATTAAAAGTAAACAATATTTTTATTGAAAAGTTTGGTATTGCTAAAATATTTTACTTGAACAATTTGCATGTTTGACTCAAGAGAATCATTTGTACATTTATTACATGTGCAAATCAACAAAATTATGGTGAAATGTTTCAGGTTAAATGAAGAAAATAGCTTTTAAAAATTGTTGTGCTGTTATCATTGCATTTGTTATTTATCATTGAATTAGATGCAGGCAATAAGAACCAATTTCCTCTTGGTGATTAATCTGATTTCACAGGAAGGAGGCTTATAAGAATTACCACACTCTCAATTTTCCTCTTGATGTTGACCTATTTTAATGACTACTTAAAGAAGCACAGGTTAAATCCCACCCATGTGAACTTCTGGCAAGAGTAAAGGATTGGGAGGGGTTTGGTTACTAGAATAAGCATGAAATTTGGAGCAAAAGATCTCAGCTTGTCTCTTAGTCTGCAACCTTTTGCAAACCCTTGCTTTAGGAGCAATCATTTTCTTTCAAGCTCTAAGATGGATCTTACAATTTCTTTGTACTTATTGTGAAATTAAGAGAATCATTTTATAAAAACACTTTGTAAAGTATTAAGCATTGAGTTAACATTCTTCTTCATACATGGAATTGTTTTTAATTGCAAAAAGATCTTTCAAGTGTTCAAGATAGCACAAAACAACATCCCATTATGGTAATATTGAGTCCCTGGGATTACTCTGCAGTAGAGGAGCAAGTGGTACTGTCTGCAGAAAGGAGAAATCCAAGGGTGTGTGGGAGAAAGGATGATGGGGTGGGGGGAAAAACAGTGGAACCAGACAAGTGGACTCTGAGGTGATTTCCACATAGAAAAATACACTATACTATAATGCAGCAAACCAGAAGCCCAGAATGAGGGCCAAAGGTTGGGGACTGGGTTGCTAATCCTCCTCTCCCCTGCCAAATCTCCAGAGATGGCGAGACTGAAAAGATGGTGAGGCTGTTCAGTGCAAATCCTTCTGTGGCATGCCTGCCACCGTTATTTACTGCATAAAGTGTAGGTTTGGAGCAGACAAATCCAAACCCTAAACCTGGGTCTGACTCCTAGAGGAAGAGCGGCCCAGCCTGGGGACAATGCTGTAAAATCCAGAGCTGGTGGTGAGTGTTGTCAGCCCAATCCTGAGGGTGGCACCACACACTTCCTGTCCTTGGACTATCTGTAGGGAGGCCCAGTTCCTATCCCTTCCTAGCCTGCCCCCTTCTTTGGCTGCAGTAGTTCAGGGTTCGTCTCTGAAACAGTTATGCTGAGGAAGATGGGCTTCTTTCTGCAGCCAAAGCCTCTAGGTGTGAAAGGCTCTCACTCGGTACATGGAAAAATTGTCTGCTGGTCAGAAGCTACGGAGGTCACAGCTCCATGTTGGAGGATGCGCAGTTACCTTCCAAAAGTGTTGCGCCTAGTTTCTAGATCAACTCAGCCACATGACCTGATGAAGCAATAGGAAAGCTTCATTCACTCAGAACTCCAGGTTCTATCTGGTTTTCTCCCTCTCTACCCAGTAAATTTATGATTTTCTTCTTGCCAAGTTAACTTACCAACATCTGCAATAGTCCTAAAAGTATGAATTGGGATAATATAATTCTAGGCTCAGTGGAGCAGAGAAATAGTTTGTAAGACAAGAGCAGAGTGGCAGGTGATGAAGTGAGATTCCACTCTGGAACCAGCACTATTAACTTACCTTGTCAGTTTGAACATGCCCTTTCTTCTTTCCATCTCCTGTCTCCTTTTGTGATTCTGAACCAATCAGTGGAAGGAACCTTAGACTAGTGGGGCTTGGGACCTAAAAGCCATAAACAGAGCAAGTTACACATACAGAAAGTGCTTCTATCCATCAACTGAATTCAGGAGGAAGATCCACTTGCTCCAAATGGAGCCTCTTTCTTGCTATCACTCTTAAGTTTAGGGGGTGAAGGTGGGGCTAGGTCCTGCTGTGTAACCCCAGCTGCTCTTGCCTCAGCCTTCCAAGTGCTGGGATTATAGGACCACACTACCTCACTGTTAAATCTTTCTACTTCACACATTGATATAAACATTTAAGATCTATGTTGAAATCAGTCTTAATATTTAGTGTGTGCTTTATTTTTTTCTTGAGTTCATTCATTCAATTTTTATCTTTGAGTTTTAAAGTTGAACTACTTTTTCCATTTTTAAAATCATCTTTAAGTAATTGGATGGGGGGTTCCAATTAAACATGTCAGTTTATCGGTATAATGCATTTTGATCAAGGTCACCTCTTTCATTGTTCTTCCCCCCATCTGTCCCACATTAGACTTTTATTACAAGTCTCTTTGTGGCTAGATTTGGAGATAGGGGTTACTAGTGAATCAGGGGTGGGATGAATCCTAAGCAGAAGGGCGGCACATGCCCAATAACAGGTCATGAGCAGACCATTGCTGCTTAAGGGATGGTAAATGATATGCCGTGGCTGGAGTGTAGGGAGAGCAAGAGGAGAATGTGGAAGCAAATGGTGTCAGAGTTCTGGCAGAGGTCAGGTCATAAGAGCTTTGTTTTTTTGGTTTTGTTTTTTTTTTTTGGTCAGTCATGGGGCCTGAACTCTGGGTCTGGGCCCTGTCCTTCAGCTCTTCAGCTCAAGGCTAGCCTCTACCACTTGAGCCACAGCTCCACTTCCGGCTTTTTCTGCTTATGTGGTGCTGAGGAATCGAACCCAGGGCCTCATGCATGCACTCTACCACTGAGCCACCTTCCCAGTCCCAGGTCATAAGAGCTTTGTATGCCAGGTGAAGACATTTGGATTTTATTTAGCAGATAATGAAGAACCACCAGGATAATAGCTACCATGTTGACCGTATGTAATGGCAGAGACAAGAGATCCAAAGCATTGGCATACAAAACTCATGGACCCTGATCACCTCTCGTTTATCAGAGGCATCAGTGAGCTTGGTGATATGATTTTCCCTAATTTGCTTATAAGCACAGGATGGTCAGGAATAAGAAGCTAGATTTTTGATTATTCTGTTATTAGGTTTCTAGTCTTAAAAACCTCTGACTTACCCTATATATAGGAAGAGAACCAAAAACAATCCCCGCCTCTCTGTTTTCAGTCATGAAACCCTCCAAGGAACACCTGTGAATCTGCAAAACAAAGCCTCTCATAAATGGCAAAATAGCATTAATGGCATTCAGGTCTTGACTTCCTCACTTCCTAGCTTTATGACCTTAGGTAAGTTCTTTCCCTGAAGACTATGATGAAATCCAATGAGATCATATAAGAAGATCACACTAAGGTGCTCTAAAGATTTTTGTACCATTATATCATTACCAGTAACAGAATGTCAAAAGGAAATGAAGAGAAAAGAAACATATAGATTAATAACACATTGAGAATGAAAAGGAAAGCAAAAACAGAACTGCTTATCAAGGTCAGATATCCTGGGTCAAATACCTTTCAACTCAACTTTATCAGGGAAGCTATTTTTAATCTTATCAGCTAGCTGAGGTATGAAGATAGCAAGCCTTGGGATGTTTGGGATATTCAATTGTTTAAAAAAGATATGAGACTTAGTAAAAGTATCCCAATTTTATGTAATATTCCACTTCTGATTTTAAAATACAACTTCTTATCTCTAAATCGAATGAGTGTTACAAGTGAATAGCACTATTTATTTCTAGGATGTACCATTTCAATCCTATTCCACAAAATAGATATTCTCCTATAACATGTTATGTACAGATGTGTGTGCAAATGATATTCTTTTAGTCATGGATGTGAGACAAACATGAACATAGAAACAATTCTGATTTGATGGAGAACATGCTAAGTGAAGATAGTATGACCTGTGAAGAGACACATCAGAAAGTCTGGGGTCTTTGGGAAAAAATACAACTAATCAATAATTATTGAGGATGTAAAATACACCTGACATATATTTTCTTGACCTCTCTCAACAGCTCTTAACACGGATACTCATATAAATAAAGTTATAAAATATTTGAAATGACACCAAAGTCCATTAGACTCCACAAGTGGCTTCTCTTCCTGTCAACCTGCCTCTGGGGAAAAGAAGTATCTAGGTTCCATTTGGGCAGAAAGGGAGGATGTGCAATAATTTTGTTTTGTTTGTAAAGTATTAAATATCTATTATACATGCAGAAGATACTGTAAAAGCGGATGACTATGATGTATGTTCAGGGAGCACTGGCGTGCAAATCTGACCACCTCAATGCCTAAGTCCTTAGAGGGTTGGCTCTGATCATACTCCTGTTCTTTGGCCTTGCATGCCATTATGGTAATCCTGAACTTTGTGTTGCCCATGTTTATTTATTTATTTATTTATTGGTTGGTTGGTCATGGGGCTTGAACTCTGGGCATGGGCGGCTCATATTCATTTGTACAGGTGAGCGTTAGGTTCATTCACTTTTTAAAATTTAAGTTTTACTATAAAGGTGATGTACTGAAGGGTTACAGTTACATAAGTCAGGCAATGAGTACAATTATTTTTCAACAGTGTCACTCCCTTGGTTCATTCACTTTTACTGCTCCCTGGCAGTCCAACTGAGGAGTATGCTAGAATTTATTAGTGAGATAAAAGCAGCACTTCCCTGAGCTTTCTTATACCTATTTCCTAAGCACATGTTCAGGACTTTCCCAGGGAATATATTTACAGGGGAGCCTATTCTTCATCAGATAATCTCACATAATGTTTAAATTATGTCATGGGCACACCATTCTTTCCATTCTCCTCCTCCTTCTCCTTTCTCCTCCTTCTTCTTTTTCCTCCCTTCTCCTCCCTCTCTCCATCTCCCTTCCTTCTCCCTTTCTCTCACCCCTCCTCCTTCCCCTCTCCACCTTTCTCCTTCTTTCTTCCTTCCTCCTCTTTCTCCTCCACCTCCTCTTTCCTGTTTCCTCCTCCTCTTTCTCTTCCTCTTCTTCCTCTTCTCTTCTTCCTCCTCCCCTCCCCTCCCCCATCTCCTAACCCCCTCCTATTTCTTCTGTATTGGGGATTGAACTCAGAGCCTTGTACTTGCTAGGCAGGAGCTCAATGGCTTGAGCCATGTCTCAGCCCCCTTCTTCATTATTTTCAAGGGAAGTTCAACTTTTTGACCCACAAAACTATAAGTATTGTATTATTTATGTCACCAAATTGATGGTGATTTGTAACAGAGGATATAAAAATGCAATATTTCTGCATATATTTGAATTAAGGAAGGTAAAAATAAAAGGCAAGATATGTACTGCTTTTGTTTGCTTTGTTGTTTGTTCTGTTTTGTTTTGATTAGCTACCTTGGGAGAAGAAAGAGACTTGAAATATTTAAAATCATGTTCCACTTCAAAGGCCTTGGGAGGTGCACGTCTAAAGAGCAGAGACATTGAGCTCATGTTTCTCCATCTGCATGTAAACGTAGAAGAAAACTGTAAGTAAATACCAGTACATCTTTTATTTTCTGCCAACAAAACTAATACACATTATGTCCTTCTCTTGAATTCCTTAGTTCTCATGGCACGAGTCCTAGTGATGCTAATTATTATTCCATTTTGCTTTGCAGACTTTCCTTTAAGGAATTCACAGCAATTTCTACCTGCCTGATCATCTCTTGAAAATTCACCACCCATTACTGAGGGGGAAAAAACTGTAATACGGACAGCAAAAACTTTCTATATGTACAATGTTTGATTTTTACATGACCTGGGAAGCTTCCTCTATAGTTGGAAAGTTAAGTACATATTTAGAAAGTCAAATGTAAGCATTAAAAGCATTTTTAAAGGCAATAGAGAATATGTCCTGAGATGGAGTCCTTCTATAGCACAAGGCCTATTTTGCTACAAGAGAAATAAAAATATTTAGTAATAACCATGTAAAAACATATCTATCAAGTAGCTATCCCAGATACAACATTCCCTTTCATGCCTACATATCTGCCATTTGCAGTAATTCTTCTGCTTATGATGCTCAATTAGTCATCTTCCTCTCCCACAAATATTTTTTGAGTGTCTACTGGCTATTGGCACTGATCTAAGAACTAGGATGACAAATGTAAAGGACAAGATCCAAGTCTTCATAAGACTCAGAGTGAACAGAAACTCACATTCACACATCAGAATACATTGTCATATATATTGAGACACACGGATGTTTCGAGACAAATGATTACCAAAAAGACAAGGCTGATCATCTTTTCCTTGGTGAACTGTTGCATCTTGGCTTTACCATAACTTTCCTACATTTTGGTCGGTCATCACCTCCAGTAATTCCATGGGAGCCTCTGAAGTCACTTAGAATTCTTCTTGATTGTGACAAGAGTGTTTTCACTTTCCACCTGAATTCTGTGTTGGTTCTGATTGCTTCTGTTTCCATTTACAGCCTTGCCACCACCCATATTATATATGGACATTGGGCCTCCCAGTGGTGACTGATTTAGTGCTTTCCTGAGGGACTTTATCTTGGACCTACTCCTCTGATGCTTCCCACTTGAGAACCATCTGGGTTGGGTCTCCAAATTCTGATTTTCAGAATCATTTCCAGGCATCTCTGGTCTCCCAAGTATTAGACATATAAACCTGTTCTAAGATCGAGCTCTGCTGATTCTGAGAACTCAGATGAGTACCAACCTCTTTCACTGTAACAAGGGCACCACCACAATCAGGCAAGAACTGAAACTGCAAAAAGTGAAAAACAGCTGCTCAAGTTCACCCTATTCTCTACTAAAGAATACTCTATTCCCTACACCTTCAAGTATTCTCAACCCTCTCAAAATACCAAACAAATCTATAAGACAATGGTTTCCTTAACTAGAGTTTGCCATCTTCAAAAAGCAGTGTGGCTGAGTGCTGGTGTCTCACATCTATAAACTTAGCTACTTAGAAGGCTGAGACCTGGAGGACTGTACAGGATGAGCCTAGCAGACAATATAGAAAAGACTCCATCTCCAAAATAACCAGTAAGAAATGAGGCCTAAGTGGCAGGGTATCAGCTGAGCAAGCACAGACCCTGAATTAAAACCCCAGTAATGTCAAGAAAGGAAGAAGGAAAGAAATAAAGGAAGGAAGGTAGGAAAGAAAAAGGAAAGAAAAGAAAAATAAAGGAAAGGAAAGAAAAAGCAATCTTTATTGTGAGTTTTTCCTATCTGTTATCCAGCCTCTTTATTTCCTCTAACACCCTCTGCAGTTTTCTGCCTCTAATGTTCTCTATTATATTCTGATTGACATTTTTGACAATAATTTTGAGAGCTTCAAACACAAAGTAATGATAAATAGATGAGAACAATCATCCCATTTTTGATACATGTACTAAAACAACCACATTGTACCTCAAAGATAAGTATAATTACTACAAGTTAATAGAAATGTACAAGACGCTTGAATGGGGCAGTATTAACTACTTTAATTTGACCATTACCCACTGTATAAATACATCGAAGTATGACACCGTACTCCATAAAATTATACAATTAAGATTTAAGCCAGGCATGGTGATTTATGCCTGTAATTCTAGCTACTCAGGAAGCTGAGATTGAAAGGATTAGGCTTCCAGCAAAAAGTTCATGTGACCTTTATCTCAGTCAATAAAAAGATGAGTGTGGTGGTGCATACCTATTAATTACTCAGGAAGTGGAAATAGGAGGATCATGATCCAGGCCAGCACAGGTAAAAGTTGGGAAACTGTTTTAAAAATAACAAAAACAAACAACCAACAAAAGATGTGTGGCTTTTATGATGAAGTATCTACCTGCCACATACAAGGTCATTAAACCCCAGTGCTTGAACAATATATTGAAAATCATTCTATACTATCTTCACATTGCACCTTCTGTTTCTCAGCCATTGGCATGGGATCTCTTCCAACCCTCCACTGAAGTTACCCTCAATGGTATTTTCTTTTCTTTTTATTTTTTTGTCGGTCGTGGGGCTTGAACTCTGGGCTTGGGTGCTGTTCTTTAGCTTTTCAGCTGGAGGTGAGTGCTCTATCACTTAAGCCACAGAGCCACTTCTGGTTTTCTGGTGGTTTATTGGAGATAAGAGTCTCTGGGACTTTCCTGCTCAGGCTGGCTTCAAACCATGATGCTCAAATCTCAGCCTCCTGAGATCTGATCCTAGGCCTACAGGCATGAGCCATTGGTGCCCGGCTTCAATGGTATTTTCATTTCAATCCCAGTGTTCATTTTTCTATGATCCTATGGGCCTCGCACCACCATTGAGGTGTACTCAAATTCTCTCCTCCTGCTTGCTTGAGTTTATTCTCTCAAATTCTTAGCCATTCTTTTTCAAGGTTCTTTACTGTCTCTACCTGCATTTACCTTGGCCTGTTTATTACAGGTTGATTATTGCTCCATAGTTTTCAATCTTTACTTATTTGAAACACAGGACCTGACTACTTCTCTTTGAAAACACCACCAGGCTATTGACTCCAAAGGCTTTGTGTATAGCTTCAAACTCTGGGTAGATCAGCCTCCACCCAGGAGAACCACGTGTCTCACAGTTAGCCCTGTCCCAAAGCAAACTCACCATGTCTTCTTCCACACCTGCTTGTCCTGTTATGAATTCTGTTTTGCTCAGTTTTCCCCAAGTATTAAATGTGCCCATTGGCTCATAAGCCCAGTGTGATGTGGCCTCTATAGACTTTCCTAGCTTTATCTTGCCCTGACTCTAAGATTAAAAGGCTGCCTTGAAAATACTGCAGTGAAATCCCTTGTTCCAACTAATACACAGAAAAAAAATAAAAGTAAAACAGGATATGGGTGGGGCGCCAGTTAGAGGAAAGAGAGCTAAAGCAGAGAGTGAATGAAGAAGAATACATTCAATGTAGTTTATTTGCATGAATACAAATAGAACAATGCAACATTTCAAAATTATTTTAATCATGAGTAGAATGAGAGGGAATACATTGCTTACATGCATAGAAATGTCACAATGAAACACCCCTTGTACAGCCATGATGTCTGCACACACATATACACACATGCACACATTATACACATACATACATCATCTTTTTTTTTCAAGTCCTGGGTCTTAAACTCAGGGCCTGGGTGCTGTCTCTGAACCTCACTGTGCTCAAGGCTAGTGCTCTACCACTTAAGCATCAGTGCCACTTCCAACCTTTTCTGTTTATGTGGTATTGAGGAATAGAACCCAGGCAAGCACTCTACCACTAAACCATATTCCCAGCCTCAGACATAGTCTTTAATTATTTGGTGCTTTCCTTAGGCAATTGCCATTTTTTTTTTGTCAGTCATGGAGCTTGAACTCTGGGCTTGGGTGCTGTCTCCTCAGCTCTTCAGCTCAAGGCAAGTGCTCTCCCACTTCTGCCACAGTGCTACTTCTAATTTTCTGGTGGTTAATTGGTGATAAGAGTCTCACGGACTTTCCTCCCCGGACTGGTTTTGAACCACGATCCTCAGACCTTAGCTTCCCGAATAGCTAGGATGACAGGCGTGAGTCATGGGCGTCCAGCTTCCTTTTTTTTTTTTTTTTTTTTAACAAATCCAATTTAACTTTGGTTATTCAGAGTACTACTATAGAGAATCAGAGCTTTTAGTTTATAGATTTCTTTTTTTCACAAGATTGCAGGATGATTAAATAGGTTCAGATTTTCTCATTTGAGTGCTTTACACGCAGCAAAAGAAAGACTGTTGTAAGAGTTAAACTTTTATTTATCATGTAAAGAAATACCCCTGGCCTTACCTTTCCCGGTCAAATATCAGAGGGTATTCATATTTCTGTTTCTTCTCTGTGAACTTGCTTTCTTCTTTGATTTCTATAGGACATTCAGTTATATCACAAGGCAAAATGAAATCCATTGACATGGTTAAATCTAAAGCTCGTCGTTGTCCAAAATATCCACAATAATGACCATTGACGGCATGCCAGAGCCTGAAGGAAGGCCAAAGAAAAGAGGGTAAATAACCGAGGAATTCAGCCCAAGTTAGTCTGATCATAAATTGTATGGGTTATACTAGACTATCAAGGGTTATAAACTTGAATCCGGGACTCTTCCTTCTAAGTACAGCACAGTTCACTTTATGTAAACTTTCGCAAATCCAGGATTTCAATCATGCTAGTCCTCTATCACTGAGGAAGCACCTAGAGCAGAATGCAAACATTTTATATAGTTAGAATTCTAACCTACAGCCTTTCAGGGAAATATTAATTTGAATCCAAACTGAAAATTTTTATTTATCTGAACCAGACAAAAGGTTTTTCCTAAAACACTACTTCCCCAGGCTAATCATAATTCACATTGACTGACAATCGGTTAGTTTACTTAGGCCTTAGCACAAGATAAGGTCAGTGTGCTACTTATAAAATCAGCCAGGTGCCAGTGGCTCCTGTCTATAATCCTAGTTACTCAGGAGGCTGAGATCTGAGCATTGTAGTTCAAAGCCAGCCCAGGCAGGAAAGTCCATGAGACTCTTATCTCCAATTAAAGACCGAAAAAAAAAGAAGCCAGAAGCAGAAACTTTTAAATCTTAGAGTCAGGGGCATGTGAGGAAGACAATGCAAGATAAAGCTAGGAAAGTCTATAAAGGCCACATCACAGTGAGCTTCTGAGCCAATAGATACATTTAATACTTGGGGAAAACTGAACAAAACAGAATCCACAACTGGACAATCAGGCGTGGAAGAAGACATGGCGAATTTGCTTTGGGACAGGGCTAACTGTGAGACACATGGTTCTCCTGGGTGGAGGCTGATCTACCCAGAGTTTGAAGCTATACACAAAACCTTTGGAGTCATTAGCCTGGTGGTGGTTTCAAAGAGAAGTAGTCAGGTCTGTGTTTTGAATAGGCGAGAAGTAGTGAGCTAGCTTTGTGGGAAAAAAAAGCTCAGGGATATTGCCCAGGCCCTGAGTTCAAGCACAAAATAAATAAATAAATACATAAATAAGTAAATAAGCAAATAAATAAATAAAATCAACTACCACAGAATTTGTGAGAGACATCTGGAGATGCTTTAAGTAATCCTGATTCACTAACAGTCACTGTGAACCCCATCAACAATTCCTACCTACTGTTTTGGGGTCCCCATAGGAATGTCTATATCTGAGTTTTATATAGGTTGGCAAATGGCATGTCTCTTTACCCATATACTTATTTCATCTCAATTCACTCCAAAAGTTCCCTGTGAAATAGCCTATGGGGTTTAAAATAATATTGGATTCCCTGGCAAGAGTGAAGAAATTGCATTGCTTATGGGAAAATAAAACAGCATTTGAAGATCTTCCTTTTATGTCCTGATTTGAACCTCAGAGGAGCAAATGATGGAAATAATAATCAGGTGTCCTGAAGCAATGACCTAGAAGGAGAAGGATGAGCTTAAAGAACTAAGAATAGATTCTTCAAAGTGTAAGTAGCATGAAATTTCAAAATAGGTAGATACTAGCCATGCATGCTAGTTCTTGCCTGTAATCTCAGCTACTCAGGACATAGAGATCAGGGGGATTTCAGTTTGAGGCCAACTAGAATAAAAAGTTAGTGAGGTAATGAGACCCCATTTTAACGAGCCAGACATGGTGATTCACAAACATAGACTTAGTTATGTAGAGGTCATAGGTGGGAGGGTCATGATCTGAGGCCAGTCCCGGCAAAATCATGAGGCATTATCTGAAAAACGACAAAAATGAAATGAGATATAGTTCAAACTGAGAAGTCTGAGGCCCTGAGTTCGAGCCTCGGTACCATCAAGCCCACACACACCAAAACAACAAAATAAAACACATAGGTAGCAACTGAGAAGAGGCAGAAATGGAGGTATCCTTTCCTTACCCTTGACAGTGTCCAGAGAGGACTTAACATGAGTGACATATATCCCTATATTTTAGTTTCCCAGCATGACAGAGTTATCATGGCCTTCCCAAAGCCTTTACCAAAGGGAAATAGACTTAAAACACAAAACGTTGGAAAGGTGAAGGACTACTTCACTCAACTCTAAATTCATGCTGATGGAAGTAAGTTATTCTTGTTTTTTCTTATTTTTTAATAAGTTTTTTTATTGTGAAAATACTATACAGAAGGGTTACAGTTACATGAGTAAGGTAATGAATACATGTCTTAGCAAGCATTGTTGCCTCCTCCTTTGTTTTTTCCCCTACCATCCCTTCCATCCTACCTCCCCAACTACACTCCCCATTACTACACTCCCCACTGCCCCCACTGTAAAGTTTGTTTTTCATTTTTCAACATAGTGTCTTGTACATCTCCTAGTGTTTAGTGCTCCACATGGAGCTCTCCCAAGCAGACCTCCTGCCTCTCTGCTTGGTTTCCTGGGCCTTAGGGCCCTTGAGCCATGCCTTACCTTCCCAAGGTTGTATCCTTCACCTTTGTTGTTGTTGTTTGTAGTTGTTATATCTTTAAAACATTATCTTTAAGTTGTATAAAGGAGTATACACAGTCGTATAAAGGCTGTATAAAGGAGTTGGCATTTAATGAAGCAGGTTATGAATATAATATATCTTGATCAATGTCACACCTTTCAATATTCTCACCCACTCTTTCCCTTCCCACCTCTTCCTTCACCTTCGTGGTTTACCTCACAGAGCCATCCACAGAAGCAGTAACCACCACTTGCTTGTCTTCCACGTAGGCTACTTGAACAATTTCTAAAGAATGAGCACGCCAGGAAAGCAGCTGCTTGAATTTCTAGATGGCAACGATAAGACATATCCCTTGGGATTAAATCAAGGAATATAACTTTAAGCAAAGCCATAGCTCATTACGAAGCTGTGTTCAGGAGTGGATGGGTGTGGACCGCTACACTGAGTGACTGTGTTCCTAATTATTTTCTTGCTCACTGAGGTAAAAAGCCTAAGTTTAAGGATTTTTTTTTTTAATTGCGAAAATACCATACAGAGGGGTTACAATTACATGGGCAAGATAATGAGTACATTTCTTATCAGGCATTGTTGCCTCCTCCTTTGTTTCCCCATACCTTCCCTTCCTCTCTCCACCCCTTACCCCCACAACCCCTACCATGACCTCCCCCCAACCCCCCACCCCCGACCCTGCCAAAGTTATAAAGTTCATTTTTCTTTTTTTCTTTTTTTTTTGCCAGTCATGGTGCCTGAACTCTGGGCCTGGGCGCTATCCCTCAGCTCTTCAGCTCAAGGCTAGTGCTCTACCACTTGAGCCACAGCGCCACTTCCAGCTTTTTCTGCTTATGTGGTGCTGAGGAATCAAACCCAGGGCCTCATGCATGCAAGGCAAGCACTCTACCACTGAGCCACCTTCCCAGCCCCATTTTTCGGCGTAACATCTTGTACATCTCATTGTTGTAATGGGTCCACCTGTAACCCTATTTAAACGATTTGTTTTTTCCCTTCCCCTTCACAAATTATATCAACATCAAATGCAGAGAAAGCAGGGCTTATACCATTGGGGAGGTATATACAAAAGATTCCACATGGAGCTCCCCTATGACCCAGCAATCCTACTTTTGGGCATTTACCTGAATGATCACAAACAAGACCATACTAAAGCTACTAGCACAACTATGTTTTTTTGCAGCATTATTTATCATAGCTAAGATATGGGACCAACCCAAATGCCCCTCAGAAGATGAATGGATCAAGAAAATGTTGTATATATACACAATGGAATTCTATGCCTCCATCAGAAAGGATGACATTGCCCCATTTGTTAGGAAATGGAAAGACTTGGAAAAATTATATTAAGTGAAGTAAGCCAGGCTCAAAGAAATATAGGTCCCATGGTTTCCCTTATTTGCAATAACTAGTATATGTCTGAGACAAACAAACTGTCAGACAAGTTGATGCTAGGTGAAATGAATCCTAAGATAAGGATTCAAATGTTTTTTCTTTTTTGCGATTGTTTCCAACATATTTATAAGATGATTTCTTAATCTGCACATACCTGGGGAGAGGAAGTAGTTCCTGACTTTGTTGAGGAATCGAAAATTAGCATTTCATTTAGTTGATGGTTATTAGTACATTATTAAAGAGCAGCCTTAAGAAAGGGTTGTAGAAGACCAAGAATGAAGATAACCAGGAATGGGGAGAAGCAGAGCTGGGAGAAGGCCCATAGGAAATTGGCAAAATTACATTTTAATTAATTATTATTATTATTATTATCTACTTTTGTGGTGCTGGGGATTGAACTCTGGGCCTTATGCTTAGTAAGCAAGTGATCTTCCACTTAAACTATACCTCTAGACCTTTTGTGCCTGGCCCTGGCTAACCTTCCAATACGATCTTCATGTCTCTGCCTCCAAGAGAGGCTGGGAATATAGGTGTATATCACACCTGACAAGAGTTTTTTCTTATTTGAAAATTTTATCTTGAGAAAATATTGGCTATTTTGCTCTTCAGTGGGGATGTGGAGTAGGAATTATCAAGAATAACTGCCCAGGAAAGAATGCTATTGTACCATTTGTAAGGAAATGGGAAGACTTGGAAAAAACTATATTAAGCAAAGTAAGCCTGATCCAAAGAAACATAGGTTGAATCTTTTCTTTCATTTGTAATCATTATAATGTGTCTATAAATCTCCAAGTAAACACCCTGGATGGTTTAAAAAATACACTGGGGTATGATGAATTATCCAGGCCTCCAGACATATGCACAGTGAGACCAAAGGAGGATATTCATAGGAGCAGGTCACAAAAGTCATAGCTATATGTATATAATCATATAAAATAATATTTTATGAAATGATCCAAGAAAATGAAAGAAGGGATTTTTGTTGTTGTTTCTGTTTTTGTTGTCTTTTCCTATCATCTTATGCTAGTCTTTGGCAGGGCAAGGCAGGGAGAACCGAAAAGTTGAAGCAAAGGGTGAACAAATACAGGTATGGTACTCATTAGGCACTATGTGGAAAATGAACTATACATCCCTTGGGTGGGAACAGGAAAGAAAAAATGGGAGACAGCAAGAGAAGGGGAGACCTGGTTCAAGAAGAAATATACTCATTACCTTATTACCTGCAACCTCTCTGTAGATCACTTCTGTAATAACAGTAAATATATTTTAGAAAAAGAATAATTAGCCAGGCACCGGTGGTTCAAACCTGTAATCCTAGCTACTCAGGAGACTGAGATCTGAGGATTGCAGTTCAAAGCCAGCCCGGGTAGGAAAGTCCATGAGTCTCATCTCCAACATACTATTCAGAAAAAGCTGGAAGTGGCATATGACCCAAGTGGTAGAGCACTAGCTTTGAGTACAGAGAGGCTCAGGGACAGGACTCAGTCCTGAATTTAAGTCCCAGTACTGGCAACAAAATAAAAAGAAGAAAAAGAAAAAAAGATTAGCTCAAGTTCCTCTCTCTGTCTCTGTCTCTGTCTCTGCCTCCATCTCAGGCTCTGTCTGTCTCCATCTCTCTCTTTCTTTCTCTGTATTTCTCTGACTCTGTCTCTGTCTTTCTCTGTCCCTCTCGGTCTTTCTTTCTTTCTCTCTCTTTTCTGTGCCAATCCTGGAGCTTGAACTCAGGGCTAGACCTGGGTACTGTCCCTAAGCTTTTTTTTTTTTTTTTTATTGTTGTTGTTGTTGTTCAAGGATAAGGATCTACTACTTGAGCCACAGCTCCACTTCCAACTTTTTGATGGTTAAATGGAGATCAGAATCTCATATACTTAACTGCCTGGATTAGGTTCAAACTGCAATCCTCAGATCTGAGCCTCCAGAGTAGCTAGGATTCCTGGCATGAGCCACTAGCACCTGGCTCATTCTTTAAAAATCATCATAAGGGTTGATCGGTGTGTTCCTTTTAGCTTTGTCCTCAAGTTTAGCCTTTGCAAATATTTCTAAATCATGTGAACTAGAGTTGTTAGCTATGGAGCTTACTCTACAGTAACTCCTCTTGGCAGTATGTTTCTCTCTATTATTGATGAACACATGAAGACCATATGGCCATTTGTGTGACCAGCATTCTGGCAGTGTGTAGTTTTTTCTATGTTTTCTACTCATTTACCTTAATGAAGCTTAGTCTCAATTCCTCCTAGGTTTCTTGACCTTTTATCTCTGTTATTTCTTGAGAGCTAGGCAAAAACTATACTATGGCACTTCATAATGTTTTAAATTGTTCAAGAGTTGATTGTCCAAGTTTTCTTTCTCTGTCTCTATCATCTCTCTCTCTGTCTTTCCCCCTGTTTTGAGAGAGATCTCCTCTACAGGATGGTATTCTCTAAGTGTTTTTGTCACATTGCTGAAGTTGCTATAGTGCATGTGCCAAAACAGTAGGAATGCTTGTTTTTCTGTCTTTTATAGTTTCTTGTCTAGAGCAATGTTCAATAAACACATGCTGACACATTTATAAAGTATGAAAGTAAAGTTCATACCTTTTCATCATGAGGTGGATCCAGGAAGGCACCAATACTGCAAAGGATAACATGTCCTTCTGTGTAAGAATGAAATATTGGAAATCTTAATTAGATACCATGTTCTCTAAATAAATATGACCTACAAAAGCAACTCATTTATTTTTCCATATTACTTTGATTTAGACATTTATATTGGTAAAAGAATAGAATCTGAGATGACAGAGAAATACATACACAGATAGGTATATATACAGTAATACATGTTTGTATGTATGTATGTATATGTATGTATGCATATGTATGTATGTATATGGGTATGTATATGATTTCTGGGTTTCTGACACAGGAACTCTCTCTCTCTTTCTCTCTCTCTCGCTACACACACACACACACACACACATATATATATACATGCGTATATATATGTACATATGTGTGTGTGTGTGTGTGTGTGTGTGTGTGTGTGTGTGTGTGTGTGTGTGTGTGTGTATAGCTCAGACTAATGTGGAACTTGTTTTGTGGTCCAGAATGTTCTCAAGCTCACTGACAATGCCTCATCTTGGCCTCCTGATTTCTGGATTATAGTCATTTATAGTACTGTATATGTAATTTATTATTTTATTTCTGTCTTACTAAGTCGTAATGAGGTTGTTTTATTCACTCAAAATTTCCCTAAAGATCGAAGTAGATGATATTAAAAATGATTCTATGACTATCAAATGCAGCCAAGATGGTTACAGAGAAATTCTTCCTAAAATCTAAATGAGCATCTCAAAAAGTATGTAATTTGTTTGAATTGTGGGAAAACAAAGAAAAACTAAAAAAGATGCCAAATAGAAGTAAACATCAAGATGAGAATCACATCTAATGTCTTAGAACAATACCATCAAGAAAAGAACATTTAAGGAGTTTTGGGAATTAAAAAAAATAGCAACCTAGAATCCTATACCCTGAAAAATTATCTTTTCAAAGTAAAGAATAGTGTCTTGTACCAACAAAAATGGAACAAATGTGTGACCAGTTGGCAGTCCTTTCAGACAGCGTTCAAAGAAGTTTTTCAGAGAGAAAGATGATGATAGAGGCCATAAACTTAGATTCACACATAAGAAGTAAGAACAGTGAAAACAGGGGTTATACCATGGCGGAGGGACATACAAAGCAACAAAGAAATCATCTTATAAATATGTTAGAAGAAATCACAAGAAAGAAAAAACATTTGGATCCTTATCTTGGGATTCATTTCGTCTAACATCAACTTATCTGATGTTGGTATAATTTGTGGAGGGGAAGGGAAAAAACAAATTGTTTAAATAGGGATACAGGTGGACCCATTGCAACAATGAGATGTACAAGACGTTATGTCGAAAAACGAACTTTACAACTATGGCGGGCTTGGGGGGGATAGGAAGGGATGGGAAGGGGAAACAAAGGAGGAGGCAACAATGCTTGATAAGAAATGTACTCATTACCTTGTCCATGTAATTGTAACCCCTCTGTATGGTATTTTCACAATAAAAAAAGGAGTAAGAATAGTAGACAATAAAAATGAAAATAAAAGCTTTCCTTTCTGTTGATATAATATATAATAGTTTATACAAAATAATAATATTTTATAGTTATAACTTATGAAAACTCAACAGGAGTGAAAGTAATTATGAGATACTGGCAACCATTCATGAATTGGTATAGATCAGATATTGAATGGTAATTCCTTTGTATAATGACAAAGATAATAAAAATAGAACTAAAAATGGACATGAGCTGGGCACTGATGGCCCATGCCTATAATCCTAGCTACTCAGAATGCTGAGATCTAAGAATCCTGGTTCAAAAACAGCTTGGACAGAAAAGTCCCTAAGACTTCTTTCTTCCCCCCCTTCCTCCCCATCTCTTTCTTTCCTTTCTTTCCTTTCCTTCCTTTTTCTTTCTTTCTTTCTTTCTTTCTTCCTTTCTTTCTTTCTTTCTTCCTTCCTTCCTTCCTTCCTTCCTTCTTTCTCCTTCCCTTCCCTTTCCTCCCTCCCCTTCCCTCCCCCTCTATCATTCTCCCTCTTTCTTTCTTTCCTTCCTTTCTTGTTTCTCTTTCTTCTTTCTTTCTTTCTCTTTCTTCTTTCTTTCTCCTTCCTTCCTTCCTCTCTCTCTTTCCTTCCTTCCTTCCTTTCTCTCTTTCCTTCCTTCCTTTCTTTCTTCTTTCTTTCTTTCTTTCTCTTTCTTTCTTCTTTCTTTCTTTCTTTCTTTCCTTGTCCGAGATCAGTATTAAATTCAGTGCCTGATGCTTTCACTCAATGGCAAGTGCTATAACTGTGTTATGCCTTCAACTCTGAGAAGACTTTTACTTCCAATTAACCACCAAAAAAAGCCAAAATTGCAGATGTGGCTCAAGTGGTAGAGCACTGGCCTTGAGGAAAAAGTTTAGGGGCAGAGCCTAAGCCCTGAGTTCAAGCCCCAGGACTGGCACAAGAAAAATGACCATTGATCAGATGTAAATCTATATTGTAAACTCCAAGGAAACCACTAAAAATATTTTTTTAAAAGAAGAATAACATCAAGGACAACCTGGTCTACATAGTAAAATGCTGGCAGGAAAGAAAGGAAAGAAAAGGGGAAAGAAGGGAGGAAGAAAGGAAAAGAAAGGGACAGAAGGTTACCTAGGGGAAGGAAGGAAAAAGAAAAAGAGAAAGGAGAGAAGGAAAGCGGGAAGGAAGCAGGACCTGGTGATGTAGTTTCATGGCAGAATGCTTGTGTAGCATGCACAGGGCTCTACAGTCCCTATGCACAAATACTTGCTCATTTCCCCACAAAACGAAAACCTCAACGAAAGAATAGCACATTAATGTACAGAGGAGACTTTAGAGCAAAGGAAAATACCAGGAATAAAGAGATGATAGATCGTGAGCTGGCAATGTGATTCAAGTGGAAAAGCATACGTCTCAATAGTGTGAGGCCCTGAGTTCAAGCCCCAGCACTACCTAAAGAATATAATGAAAATAAAAATAGTTAAAACAATGATAAGAAACTAACAAGCATATTTGAAAATGGTCCTGAGGCGTGAACAAACACTTCAGTGAAGGAGATATTCAGATAGCAAAGAAGATAGCAAATGTGGCCTATAGAAATATATCACCAGAAAAATATAAACTAAGGCACCAATGAAAAACCACTGTATAACTATAAAAATGGCCAAAATCCATTTTGAAAATACCAAGTGCTGGTGACAATGTGAAGCAACAAGAGAATTCTCATTTATTCCTGGGGGCATGCAGAAAAATTTAACCAATTTTGGAGGATGGGTTTTCTTTGAAATACTAATTAATTTATTTCACAGTTATTCCTTTTCCAGTCATATGGTGAATATGTTTGAAGACAATAATGGTCTCACTCTTTTTTTGTTTTGTTTTGTTTAAAGTATAAGTTGTTTTTCTTTTATCTGTTTGTCAGTCGTGGGGCTTGAACTCTGGCCTGGGCACTGTCCCTGAGCTCTTCAGTTCCAGGTGAATGCTCTACCACTTGAGCCACAGAACCACTTCTGTTTTGACAGTTTCTTACAAAAATACATATACTCATGTCACATAATCCTGAAGTTACACTTATGGGTATTTCCCCAATGGAGTTAGTCTATGTCCACACAAAAATTTAAACACAGATGTTTTTAGTGGCCTTAGTCATAATTGGAAAAACCTGGAATCAAAGTGCCATTCAATAAGTAAACCATGACACATCCAAACAATGGAAACTTACCAGGAACTAAAAAGAAATAAGCTGTCAAGTCATAGAAAAGGAGGAAACAAACAAGCACACTAATGCAAGAAGACAATATGAAAAGCTTAAATACTTCATGATTCCATCTCTATGATACTCAGGAAAAGGTAAAGCCTTAGAAATAGTAAAAAACTCAGTGCTTGCCAAGGGGTCGGGGAGGAGAGCTGAACCCTCACATGCAGGATCTGGGGGTCAGGGAAACATCCCTATATAGTACTGTACTGGTGGCTACATGACATGACAAATTCATCAGAATTATTAAACTATTCCACACGAAGCTCTGCGCTATCCAGTCCAGTGCGAGGTTGGGAGGGTGTGGGGGCGGGGGTCTTCATTTCTACTCAATTTTGCTGTGAACCTAACAATGTTCAAAAATTAAAAGAAAGCCTATAGATTGTTGTTGTTACTATTGTTTTTAAACAATAGCAACAGAGCATAAGAATACCTTGTTTATAATAGAGACTGGATAGCAAACCCTAAAGTTTTCTCAAACTTACTGGCATACTACCTTAGCATCCTCAGGACTAGAATTATAGGCATATACCACCACACTCAGTTTTCAGAGCTCTTTTAATATCTAACATCACACACACACACACACACACACACACACACACACACACACACACACACACACTCAGTACCAGGGAAGAAACTAGGAGTCTGTGGTAGTTATAATACAGATGAGCTGGGTTGGATTACATCCCTCTGTTCTTTTTCTGGGTCACAGATAAACAATACAATCTCAGCAAGGCTGTTTAATAGTAAAGTGATCTCAAGGAAGGTTAAAGGAGAGTAGCCCCAACAGAAATGCATTCTGGGAATTGCCTATACTTTTAAATTTTATTTCTATATACCTGGTTTAAAAAAGCTTTTACAGAGTGAGGCAAAGGGGTGACAAGGTTCAAAAGAGAAATGTACTGATTACCTGACTGATTATCCTTCCGTACATCACCTCTACACTCATGATAACATGTTTTTTTTTAAGAAAGGGTTTACATCATAGTAGGCAAAGATAATATAATAATATACAGACTGCTTTTTGATACTTTGATTGCCATGATGAGACTAGAACCCAACGACTGAGATGTGGCACATAAAATTTCTACCACTGACCTACAACCAAAGCAAAATTTGCCCAGTCTTCAATTTCTTTACTATTCTGTTAAAAAATTAAAGAGTCTGTTGGCTTATGCCTATAATCCTAGCTACGTAGTATGCTGAAATCTGGAGGATCATGGTTCAAAGCAGAACATTCCAAGAGACTCCATTCTCCAAAGTCCAGCAAAAAGCTAGATTGAAAGTAGAGCTCAAGTGTTTAGGTACCACCTTTGCCAAGCAAGCAAGTCTGGTACCCCTTGAGTTCAAACTGAGATATTGTCAACTGTGTGTGTATGTGTGTGTGTGTGTGTGTGTGTGTGTGTGAGAGAGAGAGAGAGAGAGAGAGAGGGAGAGAGACTATAGAAAGCATAAACTAACATATAAACAAACATCAGAAATTTTCAGAATACAAAAGGACCTAATAAAATATGAAAGTAATGAAAATTTTAAACAAATACTGCAAATTTACTAAATAGAAATAAAAGTGATTGTGTTCAATAATGTCTGGAAAAAATTAGTTGGTTGAGATTGTTATAAAATATTTTTTCATGAGAAAAATTATTTTTTCTAAAAGAGAAGACAAAAATGTAAGAATTAAGCTGGGCACTGATGGCTCACAGATATAATCCTCTTCAGAAGGCTGTGCTCTAAGGATCTTGGTTTGAAGTTAGCCCAGGCAGGAAAGTCCATGAGACTCTAATCTCCAATTAACCACCATCAGCAACTTGGATACAAATGTCAAGGGCCCATTAGCAGGAGGGATGATGAATGCCCAACGCTGGAGGCGTAGGGGAAATGACTTACCCATGTTTCCAGCCAGAAGTATCTTGTTGCAGGAGTCAGTGTACAGCGATGTCAGAGAGATGGCAGAATGTTTTGTGAAGGGGAGCATGTCTTTTAGAAGTTTCCCCTAAATAAAGGTCAATGTAAATAGACCTTTCTTTTGTGATCAAAAGCTATCTAATCTCTCTATGTAACCCAGCTCCAGAATTACCTCTACTACTTTAGAAGACACGGGTCTCATTTTTGTAAGTCAAAATAATTTGCAAGTACCACTAGGGAAATTTCTTGGAAATTAAACACTCCAAAGGCTCTGAAGACATCACCAAATATTCATCATAAGCATGCAGACTCATTATACGTTGCCTGTATAACTTGAGGCTGTCCAGAACTCTCTTTATGAGATTCCCCAGATGGTATTTTCCAATTACATATTCATCTTCCACATACAATTACATATTCTCATTGTAAACATTGTTTTAGGTATAAGGGTATCTCCATTGTTTGCAATAGGAACCTTTGCCTATTTACTTTGGTAGATGTGTCCAAGATAAGGGGTTGCTAGAGATTAAACTTCAGTGTTTTTGAGTGTTTAGTATGAGCTAGCCCTGAAATGGAGTTTCATACATTTTATGTCATGTGAAGACTAGACATGCAAGCTTGATAACACAGAGTTGGAGTCATCTACTCGTTTTCTGAGACTACTTGGATATAATCTCTTCTCCTGTTTCTCTCTTTTCATTGCCATGGGGGAGTAAAGGCATGGCTTCAACAGTAAAAACAACTCAGAAATAGTTTGTCTTTTCAAGTCAGGGCTTTCACGGATAACCTGTGATCTCAAGAGAGCTTTGAGGCTGACTTGCTCGGGTGGCCATGCTTTCTATGTCGTGGATTCCTTTCAGGTCCTGGGTGCCATCTCCAAGTTTTCCATTGTAGCAAGGAGCTTTCCCAAGTGGGGTCACCTCCATGTCTGTCTTAGGATTCCCCATCATCATCACCAGTCTATTGCCAATCCTTTCATTGTCTTCTGTTCTCTAAATGCTCCCTGATTTGTCTTCCTAAACTAGGATGTACACCCTCCACCACAAATCTTCTCAGTACAAATTATTTTTTTTCAGTGTTTAAACACACTGAAAATGATCATCTCCCAACAGTTTGAATCACTGAAAATTAGCCATGTGATCAATATTTATGATCCATTATTAATATCCTTTAATATTATTTAAGTACCAAATAAAATATTGAATGGCATGTAGGTATAGCTCGGATTAAAAGGAAATTTTGACATAATAAACAGTTTTGATAGTTTGACTTCTTAAGTTACTTTTAAGTTACAAAACTGGCCTATTGTAAGGTGTGAATCAAGCAATCAGTGAGCAGGTTGCAAAACCATTTCCTGAGCTTCAGTTTGAAAAATAGTAGATTTCGATTTATAGGGAAGGAAACCAAGATATCAAGATTCCTTTAATTGCTCCGAGTGTGTGTGTGCGTGCGTGCGTGTGTGTGTGTGTGTGTGTGTGTGTGTGTGTGTGTGTGTGTGTGTGTGTGTGTTAGTCCTGGGGCCTGAACTTAGTGCCGGGGCACTGTCTCTGAGCTTTTGTGCTCTACCACATGAGCCACAGGTCCACTTCCAGCTTTATGGTGGTTAGTTGGAGATAAGAGTCTGATGGGCTTTCCTGCCTGGGCTGGCTTTGAACCTCAAATCGCAGGCTCCTGAGTAGCTAGGATTACAGGTGTAAGCCATTTCAATACTTGGCTAATTGCTTGCCTTTATCTTCTATTCTATTCTCAGGAAATACCAAGCCCCACTACCTCCATGGTCCACAAGCGGAGGTGTCCATCCTCATTTGCGGTGACTAGCAGAGGAGGCTGAGCTTCTACTATAGTGGTGGCTGCAAGATGTTTCTTGCTTGCTGCCTGTTGCTCTGAGACATTGTCTGTTTGCTCACCTATTGGAGAAAATAATACCATCCACGGGATTTGCAAAGCTAGGAATCCCACATTTTATGGAATATAGAAGAGGGAAGGAGGAAAATAGCAAAACAACACGTTATTCTTCAGAAACATTTTGTTTCAACTTGAGAGAAATCCACAAGGCAGACAGTAAAAAGGCCTTAAAATGTAATCTTTGATCACTGAAAAACATTGAAAAAGCTTGTTTTTGGTTCATTGCGAAAGCCTTCCGAAGCTGTTCATGGCAGCTTAAAATGATATTCATCTTAACGCATCCATAAAGCCTTGGAAATCTATAAAAGTTGTAGGGAAATGTGCTAAAGATTACAAATTTCCACAATGGTTTGGATTTTCATTATATCTTATAAAGATCCTATTGCAATGCAACTGCTTGGCAGAGTGCTTGCCTAGCACATGTAAGGCCTTTTAGTCTATGTCCTCACCACTGCAAAAAGAAATGAAAGGAGCTGATTATTCTGAAGAAAAGAGATGGGCTAGTGACTGAGAAGGCTGAGATCTGGAGGACTGAGGTTCAAAGTCAGCCTGGCCAGAGAATTCTCAGAGATTTACTTTCCAATTAACTAGCAAAAAGTTGGAATGGGGCATGGTTCAAATGGTAGAGCACCAACCATGAGGGAAAACACCAAGCAAGAGTGCAAGGCCCTATGTTCAAGCTCTATATTGGTTCCAAAAGAGGGGGTGGGGAAGAGAGATATGACACTGACCTTTAACCTCACTTTCATGTATGCTTTGCTTGCTTCCCTGGGTGAGGGGCAAAAAAAGAGAAAGCTTATTGGCCATTGTAAGCAAATGAGACATGCTAAATGAACAAGTTCTTAAGGTAGTTAAGTTTGCATTCCTAAGCACCATCTTAAAAAATATTTTTTAATTAGGTCTTTGAAGAAAACCGTACTGCCAAGATTTTCATATTCATAAAGAATGCAGAACACCATGATATTCTACTAGCTCAGGATTAGCTCAATAAGAAAGCAATTAAATACCCAGGGCGTACTTAGCTCTTGGCATAAATTATTCTTAATTCTATGAACAACCATAACACTTAGTGTTTATCTCCGCTCTCCCCCCTTTTTTAAACTAGTGCGGAAACAAATTTGGGTGAGTGATCTTGCTAAATGGCGAAGTTGGATTCAAGAACTAACTTGGCTAGCTTTCACATCAATCATGCATGTTTATTCTTTGCATCCTCCTAGTTAGTAGTTGGAAAATATGTATATCTTGTTTTTACTGTGAAAATTTTCTTTGGAATAAAATCCTAATTAGAAATGTAATGTGCAAAGAATACATAAAATTGAATCTTTGAAAACAACTACATTGTTTTACATGTATTATATAGAATTACATTAAATCTGATCTCTTCTCCATGTGAAATATGGCACCACATCTTAGCAGAAGAGATCATCTAAAATTACCTTATTATTTTATGACTATAACACTAGCATGAACAACTTTATTAATGATCATGTATTGATTATTCACAGGTGTGAAGCTTAAAAACAATGTATGGATATGAAACAATGTAAACAACTGATTTTTTAAAAAAGAAAAAAAATAGTTTGCATGCACAGACATCTTTGCCATCCATCAGAGGAGTAGCATGGTGCTCATGTAAGGAGAAAGCACACTGTGTGTGTCTTGCTTACCTTGCTACTCTGTGGACCCTTGCTAGAATCACATTGGGTTGAAGAGCATATGGAATCTTGACTTAATTTCCTATAAAGAAGGGAGAAATTCCAGGGATGGATGGTTAAGATAGTCTATCATTCTCAGGAGTCAATTGCTTCTTTCACCATGATTAGATACTGGGCCACCCACTTATGAAACTAATCACATGCTACACTTTTTAATGAATGTTCATTAATGTATTATGGGTAGACATTCCCGGGTCAAACTGCTGAAGTCTTAGCAAGTAAATGGTACTGTTCCCTGGATTTGGGGAATCCAAAGTCTGGCCTGGCTCATTGCTAGCTCTAGATTGATTCCTAGGCTCTTGGCTTAGGAATCCCTGAAATGGTAGGGATTGGTCCATTGGCAGCTAGCAAGTGCTAGCTGCTTCCTGAACTCTGGTAGCTCATTGGCCTGATCCTGCCATTGCTGTACTTTGCTGGAAGGGGCTGCTAAGTGATTGGGATGCTGGTGCAGAGTTACACAGAATAAAGCCTCAAAACATCCAAGTGGTTTGGATGACATTTTAAGCCACAAAGTAGAGAAGATGCTATATTTTGAATCACAAGTGGATGATCCCAGACCAGCACAGAAACCTGTATTTTCTCTTCAGAGACATATTTAGCATTGTCAAGTGCCAAATGCAACTAGAACAATCCCTAGAGTTCTAATGCAAAATACAAGAAAATACTGTGTGTGTGTGTGTGTGTGTGTGTATGTATGTTAGTCCTAGGACTTAAACTTTGGTCCTGGGTGCCATCCCTAAGCTTTCTCTAGGCCATGGCTCTTCTACCTGAGCCACAGCTTCACTTCTGGCTCTTTGGTGTTTAATTGGGGATAAGAATCTCAGACTTGGGCTGGGAAGGTGGCTCAGTGGTGGAGCGCTTGCCTTGCATGCTTGAAGACCTGGGTTCAATTTCTCAGCACCACATAAGAAAAAAGCTGGAAGTGGTGCTGTGGCTCAAGTGGTAGAGCGCTAGCCTTGAGATGAAGAGCTGAGGGACAGTGCCCAGGCCCAGAGTTCAAGCCCCATGATCGGACCGCCCCCCCCAAAAAAAGAATCTCAGACTTTTCTACTGGGGCTGGTTTTGAACCACAGACCTCAGATCTCAGCCTTCTGAATAGCTAGATGACAGGTGTGGGCCACGGGCACCAGCTTAAAAATACTTTAAATATTTAACAAACGTGAGAGAATGGAGATTGCAGAGTTGTATAGGGTGATCTACCTTTTGCTTCATATCAGTGGCTGCAGTGCTAATTTTGGCCCAGAGAGCATTTGTAGCACCATTGTAAAGGAAGTTGTGTGGTCCCTGATGTGATGTGGAACCCCGCAGGGTGTTAGATCCCGGAGGGCCACCCCAACTACCTAAAGATGGGGATCGCAAGGAACATTGAAGCCAAGAAATCAGCTTAAATTACATCTTCCTTCAGCGGATCCTTAGTACGGGGTGACTGGGGTCACTTGTGTTAAGTCCTACATGGTAATAAATGACGAGGAAGTACTAGTTACCTTGCACATTCAGGAGTGCGGAAGAGGAAACGTATGTCATTAATTCTGTAGCGCTTGGGATCCAAGTCAGGGTCTGCATTGAAGCAGTCTTCAGGTCGGTACCTTACAATAAATGTGCATTTATTTACATGGTCAACTCATGAATTAATAAACTTGCATTATTTACAATGTCTACCCTTTGCAAACCTAACCAGCTCCTAAAAAAACTATTGAATATGTATTGAATATAAATATGAATATATATTGAATACAAAAAGAATACTTAGAGGTTGAATATACTTAGGTTGAATTACTTAAGAGTTTGAATATACTTTTCTATGATAAAACTAATAATTTAATGATTTAGAAGTGTTTTAATTCAATTAACTGGAAAAGTCTTCTTATCTATAGGCCAGATCCTGGCTTATATAATCCTATGAGGACCTTCCTGGAAGCTTCATGCAAGTTACTTTCTTTTTCTTTTCTTTCTTTTTTTCTTTCCTTCCTTCCTTTCTTCCTTCCTTTCTTTCTTTCCTTCCTCTTTCTCTTTTCTTTCTTCTTTCTCTCTTTCTTTTTCTTTCTTCTTTCTTTCTTTCCTTCCTCTTTCTCTTTTCTTTCTTCTTTCTCTCTCTTTTCTTTCTTCTTTCTCTCTCTTTTCTTTCTCCTTCCTTCCTTCCTTCCTTCCTTCTTCCTTTCTTTCTCTCTCTCTTTCTTTCTTTCTTTCTCTTTCCCTTTCTCTCTCTCTCTCTCTCTCTCTCTCTCTCTTTCTTTCTCTCTATGCTGGGATTTGAACTCATAGCCTCTCACTTGCTAGGTAAGCATTCTACCACTTAACTCTACCATACTACCAACATTTTTGCTTTAGTTTGTTTTTCAGATAGAGTCTTAGGTTTTGCCCCAGTCTTAGGGCAGCCTGGACCTCAATCTTTATCTCTGCCTTTCACGTAGATCAGGCCACCAATCCACACCAGGATACCCAGCTTGGTTTTAGAGTACATTCTCACTAATTTATTGCCTAGGAAAAAAATGGAATCAAACTGGGATCATTTCATCTCTGCCTTCTATATAGCTGGGATTATAGGCATGTACCACCATGCCTGGACAGCTTCATATGATTTAAATAACAGAATTGTATTCTCTGAGTAGATTTAGTGACAGATTTGAATAGAACATGCTTACTAGCTCCAAGGAGCCTATCACTGATCAAGTCTCCAGGTTTTCTAGTTATTGTGGAGGTGTCCTTGAAGGGAATAGTAGAACCATCCCTTCCTTTTGTGCCTTTCTGCCATCTACCATCTATAAGGTGGAGTTTTGCTCCATCGCTTGCTCCCATTGTGATGTGCTGCACCAGCCCAAAGCAACAGGGAAGAATAATCTGAGACCTGAACCTCTTACACCCTGAGCCAGAAATAAACTTCTTTAGCTGGTTAACTCTGGTATATGTTACAATAACAGATAGACTAACACAGTGATAAAGAAGTCTTGTGAGGGAGTAAACCAAGCATAGAGGAGAAGTCTATAGACTTGACTTGTGGAGCTCCAACTTTTCGGGTATTTCTGCTCTGCAGAAAAGCTGAATGGTTAAACGGTGTACTATTTATCAAAAACAATGTTGAGTTTGCACCCCTCCAAATGCATGGAGCTAAAAGCATTAACCAGTGAAGGGATTTTATGTTTGTTTGTTTGTTTGTCGGTCATGGGGTCTGAATTCTAGGCCTGGGCACTGACCCTGAGCTTTTCAGCTCAAGGCTAGCGCTCTACCACTTGAGCAACAGTGCCACTTCCAGCTTTTTCTGCTTATGTGGTGCTGAGGAATAGAACCCAGGGCCTCATGCTTGCAAGGCAAGCACTCTACCACTGAGCCACCTTCCCAGCCCCAGTGAAGGGATTTTAGACAAGGTTTGAGGTAGAGGAAGAAATGGCCTCTATCATAAATGTGGAAACAGTACTCAATTTTTGAACTTTTAAAGCTGAGCCTATATTATCTCACATAGTCACTTGCTAAGCTATATGCTTTGCAAAATACTCTAGTGATTCAAAATAGTTGCTTTTACATCATCATTGGCCTATAGGAGTGAGATGCTATGAATTGTCCATACTAGTGAGCCTTTTGGCAAAATGCCTCCTTCAACCACAGGTGGTCCTTCAGAAACTCCATCATAAGCTGGGAAATCCTCAGGAGAGTACCTTTCTTGTAGGCTCAGGCATTAAGCCTGGAATTATCTGCTCTTCCTTGTTACTAGTACAAGTGGACAAAGTGTGCAAACTGCTTAAGAAAGGGAGGAATCAAATGACAACTTTGCAAGAGAAGATGCACAGGATGTCCACAAGAACATGGCCTGAGGTATAGAGAGAAGGATCTGAACAGTCACTCTAAGTAAAATTTCAAAAGAGAATATACTCAGAGTCCAGACAAGAATGCCAAGTACTAGAACTGGAGAGTTAAGAGACTGTTTATGTGTTTCTTTCTGATTTTCCCCACATACTTTTCCTTCCTTTATTCTCCTGTCCTTTATACCTCTTTCCTTTCTCCAAATGCTTGGATGAACTTGGTTTTATTTTTATTTATGCTAACATTTTTAGCCATTTTGTACCTTGAATACAACTTAAAAATTTTACTAACTCCTGCCCCCCTTCCTTAACATAGAGTATCCATACCTCGCTGCTGTTAATACATCTCATTTGGACAACTTGGAAAAATGTATTTACCATCCATCCATATAAATAGTACAGTGTCACACTACTAGCTTTACAAGTGAGGGCATTTAGAAATGGGTGACAAGGGTGGATAAATGTTTGGGTTATGATACAGAACACCTTGATTAAGTGGTTGAGCTACTGAATTGCATCTGCCACCCCAGGCCTTGCTGGCATCATCTTGAAATAAATGGGATATGGATGTGTTGGGGTGGTGAGTGGAAAGGCAAATCCTAGGATGCCTCTCATCAGTTGGGGTAGATGCTGGTGGCATTGGGAATACAGAAATGGGAGAGGCTTGGGGGAAATGGCAGGTTGGGAAGACTCAATCATTGTCAAGACTGAAGGGTCTACAGGGCAAGGCAGATGGGAATCACTAGCAGATAATGGATATGCATGTTTGAATTTCGGGGGATATGAGTATTTGAAGTTATTATGTACTTTAAGTATTTGTTGAGGTTATAATTGTGGACAAGCTCACACATGGGAATATCATACTTGCATTCATGGGAAAGCATAAAAGTGAAAGGTACTTGTACTGTAAATAATTAAGGTCCACCTTCCATCTATCATCCTGGTATTCAGGCATTAAGAATATGGTCTCTATGAATATAACCTCCAGAAAAGCCTCCCGTGATAGTCATCAACACTGTCAATTGCTTTTATTCTTTACTTTGTGTGCACATGTGTATATACGTGTGTATGTGTGTGTTTGTGAGTAGGCAAGTGCATATATGTACACTGGTTCTAGGGCTTGAACTAAGCCTGGATGCTATCCTTGAGCTTTATTTGCTCAAGTCTAGCACTCTGTCGCTTGAGCCACAGCTTCATTTCCAGCTTTTTGGTGGTTAATTGCTCAGCCTGTTGAGTAGCTAGGATTACAGGTGTGAATAACTGGCACCCAGCAAATTGATTTGTTCTTTTTCTTTCTTTCCTTTCTGTCTTCTTTGTTTCCTCCCTCCCTCCCTTCTTTCCTCCCTTCCTTCGTTCCTTCCCTTTCTTTCTCTTTCCTTTTTTTAGTATTGCATGCTATTTTGGCTTTCTGCATTAAAACCTTTATATTATTTAAGGCAAATACACAACTTACACATCTTTGACAGACGAAGTTGTAAAATTCCACAAGATGATCATACCATTTAAGGTTCCAGCAACTATCAGATTAAATCCTTCTGCTTCCAATAAATCAATACAGTTTACCTCAGTACTGATGGCAGGACTCTAAAGAAAGAAGGAAACAACATACTCACTGTTTTGTACGCATAAAATATCCAGCTCTACTCTAAACAATATATGCATTAATTGTGATCAACCTAAAATGTCACAAGTTTTTAAAATCATAAGGCATGAAATCTATTCTTTTGTCATTACGAAGTTTTAACTTGCAAAGTTCACTAAAACAGCAAACTACACCCTCCCTCTTCACTGCCTCTTTGCCCTTACCTTTGATGTGTTCTTCCTTAAGCAACTAGTGGATTACCATGTTTCTCTTCCCTTTAAACTTCTTGAAAGGTTATTCCACCTTAGCTGGAATACAGCTTTCTTTCCCTTAACTCTAGTTTCTACTTTATACCACTCTGTGGAAGCTTTTTATATTTATTATGAATACTTCATATATATGCTATATATGTTAGTTTCTCTTTCTTTCCTTCCATTCTCTCTTTCTCTCTTCCTTCCTCCCTCCCTCCCTCTTCCTTCCTTCCTTCCTTTCTTTCTTTCTTTCTTTCCTTTCTTTCTTTCCTTTCTTTCTTTCTTTCTTTCTTTCTTTCTTTCTTTCTTTCTTTCTTTCCTTCTCTTGCTTCCCTTCCTTCCCTCCTTCCTTCCTTCCTTCCTTCCTTCCTTCCCTCCTTCCTTCTTTCCTTCCTTTCTTCCTTCTTTCTGTTGTAGGGCTTGAACTCAGGCACTGTCCCTGAACTTTTTTTGCTCAAGCTAGCACTCTACCACTTTGAGCCATCATACAATGGTTAATTGGGGATAACGGTCTCATGAACTTTCTTGCCCAAGTTGGCTTCAAACCATGATCCTCAGATCTCAACCTGCTGAGAAGCTAGGGTTATAGGTGTATTATTTTCAATTATCCTAGTATTTGCGGGGCACTGTAGTTCATAGAATATAAATTTACATAGGATATTTGTGATCTGAGAAATGTATACCAATTTTAAATACCCAGATTTAAAGTGCTGATTGCTGAGTAATTTCAAAGTGTTGCGTTGGAAGCATGCATAGGAGTTGCTGGGACTTAGAAGAATAACATGTAAGTTACATTAGGGATCTTTTGCTCCTGCAACTTTCCTTTCTTCTCTCCTTTCTGAAACATTCTCTTGAGACTGATCTGTCTTGGTTTTGCTTGTGCTATGGTTTAGGTATTGAGCGGCTCCCAAAGGCCTATCTATTAAAGGTCAAGGCCCACATCTGTGCTTCCAGTGGTGGAACATTTAAGGGGTGGGTCCTAGCAGAAGGAAGTTGGAAACGTGATTTTCAAGGAGATATTGGGACCTTCATTTCTTCTTCTTGGTCTTTCTATGTCTGTATCTCTTTCTCTTCTTTTTCCTACTCTCTCTCTCAACTCACTTTTTCTCTTACTTCTTTAACCACCATGAGATGTGTAGTGATGAATCTTCTTTTTCTTACTGGGTGCTTTCTTACTTTTTAACCTTTAAAATATTAATATCTGGGGGCTGGGAAGGTGGCTCAGTGGTAGAGTGCATGCCTTGCATGCATGAGGCCCTAGGTTCGATTCCTCAGCACCACATAAGCAAAAAGAAAAAAGCCGGAAGTGGTGCTGTGGCTCAAGTGGTAGAGCACTAGCCTTGAGCTGGAGAGCTGAGGGACAGCACCCAGGCCCAGAGTTCAGGCCCCAAGACCGGACCCCCCAAAAAATTAATATCTGTAGGGTTTGCCTTCCAGTAGTAATTACCCTAATGTTAATGAGCTAATAATGTACCTTAGTCTTCTCCCCAATGTGTCAGACCTGAATATTGAATATTCAGTATTTTTAGATGGAGCTGAAAAATCAAGTATACAACATGCCAGGTACAGTGGTTCATGTTTATGATCCTAGTACTCAGAAGGCTGAGATCTAGAGGATCTCAATTACGAGTCAACCAGGGCAGAAAAGTTTGAGACTCCATCTTCAATATGAGCAGAAAAGTCTTGTGTAGAGGCATGGCTCAAGTGGTAGAGAAGCAGCTGTGAGCCTGTAAGCCTAGTGAGCACGAGACTCTGAGTTCAAGCCCCCATGTAGGCAAAAAGAAATGTACCTGACATAAAAAAATGATCACATAAAAGCTGGCCAGAAAAAAATGGATGACTATGTTGTGACCTTCTTATATGGTCCCAAGGTATTATTTTTTTAGTAAAACATAAGATGATTTGAAAGACCTTACTGTTTTTTTAAGAGATTAGTTTAGCTAGAAAGATAGAGGCCCAGAGGCATGACTCAAGTGGTAGAGCTTGGGCTTACAAATGCAAAGCCCTGACATAACCCCAATACAGCTAAAATGAGAAACAAGAATTTAAAAAATGTATGCAGACAAGCTATTTAGGGATAGAGGAATGGATTTCCTATTGAAGCTTGAAGATTATTTATGATTATTTGTAAGTAGTTCCTGATAACCAGAATCCTCTACATCCAGACTCCTAGAACTCAGGCTTCATTCCACAGAAAATGACCCCATATAGAACAAAAGCACAAAAGCTAGGATACAAGTGTATATACAATTGCATTAACTGAAATATTGTAGATTCAAGGAAGAAATCAAATAATGTAATTCCTTACAAAGGAAAAATCAAAGTTCACTAAAATAAATACAAAGAAACAGTACTTTGAAGAAATGGGGTGGAGTCAAGGGGAGGAGAGAAGAATGAAGAGGAGAAGTTGAGGAAGAATGCAGTCAAGAATTCAATGTGTATCTTACAAAACTAAAAAGAATGAAGGAAAGGGTGAGCTGGGAAGGATGGGTGAAAATGTTGACATTGATCTAGATGCACTGTATTCATAAACTGTTTTGTTAAATATACTTTTTGTAGAACTAAAGATAAACAAATCTGAAACATATTACAAAAGATACATTCCTAATAGAGAACAAGATATTAAAACGTTAGAAGAGAGAACAACTTAGATATAAAAATGGACAGAAGATAGGAACAAATGACCCATACATGTATATAAAAAAAGATACACTCAGCTGGGTGCCTTGGCTCACTACTGTAATGCTAGCTACTCAGGAGGTCGAGATCTGAGGATCATGGCTCAAAGCCAGCCCAGGCAGGAAAGTCCATTAGATGCTTATCTCCAAAAAACCACCAGAAAACTGGAAGTGGTGCTGTGGCTCAAGTGGTAGAGTGCTAGCCTTGAGCTGAAGAGCTGAGGGACAGTACCCAGGCCCAGAGTTCAAGATCCAGGACCACCACCACCACTAACAAAATATCCACTCACCACTAATCAGAAAAATGCAACTAAAGGATATCAAGGTGAATTTTTTTAATCTAAATTTGTTAAAATTTGACAGCAAACATAGTTGGAAAGGCTATGAAAATATATACAGTTGACTATTGCTAGTGGAAATGCAGAATTGTGAAACTGTTGTGCTGGGAAATTTGGAAAAAATTAGAAAAATTATATAGCATTTACTTTTTGACCCAACAGGTCCCTCTTTCAGGAATATATCATTTCCTAGAAAACAAAATTTGGCAATAAATTTGATGAGATTTATTATTAAAAACTTGAAATTACATATTTAAAAGGTATTTATTTATTATTTTTAATAAGTTTTTTCATTGTGAAAATACTGTACAGAGGAGTTACAATTACATGAGCAAAGTAATAAGTACATTTCTTTTTCTTGAGTAAAAAGCATTTTTATTTTTAACATGTTGTTTTCTGTTTCTATGTTACTTTTTTTATTGTGAAAATACCATACAGATGAGTTGCAATTACATGAGCAAGGTAATGAGTACATTTCTTATCAAGCATTGTTGCCTCCTCCCTTGTTTTCCCCCTCCCATCTCCATGACTACACTCCCCTCCTTCCGCCCTGCCAAAGTTGTAAAGTTCATTTTTCACCATAGAATTTTGTACATCTCGTTGTTGTAATGGGTCCACTTGTATCCCTATTTAAACAATTTTTCCCTTCCCCTCCCCAAATTATAGCAACATCAAATACAGTGAAAACAGGGGTTATACCATGGGGGAGGGACATACAAAGCAACAAAAAATCACCTTGTAAATACATTAGAAACAATAGCAAGAAAGAAAAAACCACTTGTGTCCTTATCTTGGGGTTCATTCCACTAACATCAACTTATCTGGCGTTTTCTGCTTGACTCAGACATATACTAGTTATTGAAAATAAGGGAAACCATGGGACCTATGTTTCTTTGCACCTGGCTTACTTCACAATATAATTTTTCCAAGTCTTTCCATTTCCTAACAAATGGGGCAATGCCATTCTTTCTGATGGAGGCATAGTCTTTTGAGGAACCTCCTTACTACTTTCCAAAGTGATTGAACAAGTTTACCGTCTCACCAACAATGCAGTAGGGTTCCCTTCTGGCCACACCTGTTGTTATTAGAGTTCTTGATTATAGCCATTCTAACTAGGGTGAGGTGGTCTCTCAGTGTTGTTTTGGTTTGCTTTTCTTTTATAGTAGAGAGGTTGAGCATTTCTTCATGTGTCTATTGGCCATCCTTCTTTCCTCTTCAGAGAAGTTTCTCTGTAAGTCTTTACAGAGACTTACTTATGGGGCAGTTCTTTCTTTGAGGATTTGTTGTTGGGATATTTAATTTTTTGAGTTCCTAAAGGTATTTATTGAAATAATACTTTAAACTAGAAAATACTGGAATGAACCCAAACACCCACTTTGAACGATTTGCTGAATAAACAATGGTACAACCACTCAAATGAAATATTATAGGACTTTTAAAAAGAAAGGTGAAATGTGTGAGCTCTTATATCAGAGCAGCACTGTACTGGGTATCAAAAGTGTTCACAGAGGGAGAAGTCACTGAACAACATGTGGTTTGTGCATCAGTGGAAAGGTATTGATTGACACAGTAACAGACACTTAATACGTTATTCAACCAAACGCGCCCAATGGATCTTGTTTGGATTCAGGTTGAAACAGAGTAAAACAACAACAATAAACAAAGAAATTCTGAGACAACCTGAGAAAACTGAACCTTGAGTAAACATGTCATTATCTTGAAGACTTCTCATGTTATTTACAAAATTATTTTTGAAAATGACAGCACTTTTTGCCATTTTTTAGAGATTTGTTGTTTATGGCCATTTATGTAAATATGGGACACGTAATGACTGGGTCTAGGATGTGCTTCAAGATTCAGAGGTGCTAGTCACAGAGCAAAATCTGAAGCAGAAAAACAGAACATAGCAATTCATTGAAGAAAAAGGTCTTTGGACGTATTTGTAATTCTCCACAGTGCACCGTAACAGAACAACGAAGGAATGATACTTACACGAACATTTTGAGAAAAGCTTTTCTGAGCTATTAATTCCACGGCGTGGAAGGGAATAGTGTCATTCATGTCTTTAGTCTTCAGATGCACAGTGTGGCTACTCAACTGCAAGTAGGGTATGACATCAGGTAGCTCCCACAGCACCGTGAGGCTGATGTCCTCTTCCTTCCCCTGCGTGGACAATTCAAGGGTTACATGGAAAGTTCAATCATTTTCACCTTGTACGGTTAGGATATGCACTGGTGTCACCATCATCATGTCTTACATGCTTGTTCCACGTAGATGATGTTGCTTTTAGACATTTTAAAAGTTTTATTTTTATAAACATTATCAAACTACGTGCATTTTTTTTTTGTTTTGTCTGTCATGGGGCCTGAACTCGGCCTGGGCACTGTCCCTCAGCTCTTCAGCTCAAGGTGAGCGCTTTACCACTGGAGCCACGGGACCACTTCTGGCTTTTTCTGCTTATGTGGTTCTGAGGAATCGAACCCAGGGCATGCAAGGCAAGCACGTTAGCACTCAAACACTCTAGCCTTCTTATTTGATTTGCTTATTTTTTGAGATTTACACAAGTTATCACATGAAAATTCTAGGTCATTTTTTTTTTTAATACTGCCCTATGGGGTTCTTCTATGAATATTTTCCAACTATACTTTCTATTAACTGGTGAGAATCCAGTTTGTTACCAGATTTTCACTGCTTGTCTTTGAAGACAAGTGCCATGCTTTCTAGACTTCATGATCAGAGTACAATTATGAAATTATAGGATATATATGTGAAGAATGTTTTTGCTAAAACTGGTTTTGAACCGGGATCCTCCAGATCTGAGCTTCCTGGGTAGCTAGGATTATAGGTGTGAGCCACTAGCATCTAGCCCCGCCCCCTCAATTTTAACATGTGAACAGAACCATGCCTTTTCCCTTTCAGGCCTTAGAAAGGGAGTGTCTGTGACAACTCTCTAATAGGAAGGACATCTTAGTGACTACACTAACTTAAAGAGGGAAAACAGATATATTATTGTGTTTTGGAATACGTCACCGAGACATTCTCTACAGTGCTACATCAGATCGTGCCACAACAGGGGAAAATTCTGTTGAATTGGGAATGATTTTCAGCCAAGTAAGAGGTCATTCGTCATCTTAAGTAATGCTAGCACTTCATAACTCCTATTATATTCAGTATTCATTTTTGATGGTAGCTTCCAGAGTAGAATAATACAGGCAAAGATTCCTTCAGTTCAAGGTGACAAGGTGAGAGATACTCATCCAGGAAAAATAATAATGCCTTCATTTTAAATTTAAAGAAGCTATACTAATACCTTCTTTATATATAGGTATATATATACAATATCTAAATTTAGTATACCTATATTAGATAGTAATAGGAATATTACCAAGTTCTCCCCTCTCCAAAAAGGATTAAGCATATTGCCTCATTGACCCTAAAACAAGCAAAACAATGTCGTTGAGAAACAGAAAAAGTGATGTGAACATTAAGCATTACGGCTTGATAAGGGACAGAGACTAATGAGGAATCGATGAGAGCTGAGAACTATTCTCAAGTGATGGTATGGCAGTGTCATCAGCTATGTGTAAATGTAACCTTGCTGACCCTTGCTTTAGTGGAGCCTGACTTGTCCTGTAGCAATGGCAATATGGGCAAGATGCTCAGCCTGGGAAGCCGTGCCTTTTGCTTGGATCTCTGAAAAATTTGCTTGGAAAATTATAGGAAGGTTAATGGACACGTGCTGTCTTCAGCAGGCTGGCAAGAGAGGAGTGAACTGGGGTCACTGATTCATTGGATTTTCCTGAGACTACTTACAGCATAATACAAAAACAGGACTGGGTACCTGGATCATTTTGATAGTCTTGTTAGACTCCAAGGCAAGGATCAGATACTTTTGTTTCTCATGGCCTTTGAGGAAAATCAGTCGCTGCAGCCAGTGATCTTCCTCCTTCCAATCTTTCCCTTCCAGCAACACTTTGATCTCCTGCCCACTGATGAAGTCCCAGATCTTAATAGTTCCTGAGCCCACAGAGAAAATGACACATGAGTAGTAAAAATCCTGGCTTTTGACTCAGGGAGCACTGATCCTACTTACAGCTCTTCACCAACACCGTATCCTTTCTTTCTTTCTTTTTTTTTTGAGGGGGGGGTGGTCCGGTCGTGGGGCCTGAACTCTGGGCCTGGGTGCTGTCCCTCAGCTCTTCAGCTCAAGGCAAGCGCTCTACCACTGAGCCACCTTCCCAGTCCCTCGTTTATTTATTTCTTACTGACAGGTGAGCCTCCCCAGTCTTGATGTATACAAAATATATTTCAGTACCACCTCATTTGTCATAGTTAGATAAAAACAAACAGGGCCAGGCAATGTCTTGAAATATTTTACGATGTTTGCTTTGGTTTGGCGATGTGTCCTCATAGGACCCTATGTTTCAATCCATGGTTTCTTTTCCAGTTTGGTGCTGCTGGGGAAGAAGTGAAACCCATAGGATGTGAGGCTTAATGGAGGTCCTTAGGTCATTGGAACTGGACTTTGACAGGGAGTGTGGGACTCTAGCTCCTTCTCCTTTTCATTTTCACTGCCAGGCTGCCAAGAGGTGAAAAGCTTTGTTCCACCACATGTTCCCATCATGATGTGCTGGCTCAGCACAGGCCCAAAGGCAGCAGACCCAACTGACCATGAAGTGAAGCCTCAAAAATGGTCAACAATGTAAATCTCTCACTTACAAGTTTGTTATCTCAGGTATCTATTATAGTAACACAAAGCTAGCTGGTAGTTTTCTTTGAAACCCTCAGACTTTTCTAAATTGAATTTCCTTCCTTCCTTCCTTCCTTCCTTCCATCCTTCCTTCCTTCCTTCCTTCCTTCCTTTCTTCCTTCCTTCCTTCCTTCCATCCTTCCTTCGTTCCTTCCTTCCTTCCTTCCTTTCTCCCTTCCTTCCTCCCCTCCGTCCTTCCTTCCATCCTTCCTTCCTTCCTTCCTTCCTTCCTTCCTTCCTTCCTTCCTTCCATCCTTCCTTCCTTCCTTCCTTCCTTTCTCCCTTCCTTCCTCCCCTCCGTCCTTTCTTCCTTCCCTCCTTTCTCTTCCCCTTTCCATTTCCTTTTTCATTCTATTTTTTCTTTTGAGACAGGGTCCAAGTATATAACCCAGTCTGAGCTGGAACTCACTTTGTATTCTAGACAGTTTTCACACTTATACTTGCAACCCTTCAGTCTTTGCTTTCTAGGTACTGAGATTACTGGTGTGCTACCATATGCATATTTCTTCACAACTTACATTGAAATTTCTTTCTTCAATGGATTTTCTCTCTTTCAGTGCTTTCCAGTTTATTAAACTCCCTTTCCTCATACAAAACATTTTAAGCATCACACATAATTATTAGTAAAAATTAAAGGTAATTTCACTGATATGCTGCATTTCCTAAGCTACTAACCTATTTTAGAACTTTGTCTCTTACTGGATAAGGACAGGTTTAAGGAATTTGAACAGCAAGGAAGCCGTCAAGATGGGAATCATATTTTGGTTCCATGGGTGAGATAAAAGGGGAGTGTTATTTTTTCTTACATTTAAAATACATTCTGTGATCTGATCATGAGTAGTTCATGAATGTAGAGCCCTCAAGTTTGGACTAGTGCTCTTATCAAAGAAAGTCACATATACCTTCTTTTACCATGTGAGTACACAGTTCTAGAAGGTATTACATATGAACCAGGAAGTGAGTCCTCATCAAACCACAAATCTGCCTGGTCTGTGATCTTAGACTTCCTAATTTCCACAATTGTGACAAATTAAATTTCTGATTTATATGTATGTTATTTTTTTTATAGTAGCCCATAGAGACTAAGACTATTTTCATAGCATTAACTTTGCTTATATGGCTTATGGATTGGGACAAAGAAAACAAAAGGAATGATGATCAATATAGTGGTCAGATGTTTATTTCTAGCTCATTGCTGTGTAGAAAAGTATCTTTTCATATGGGCTTTTATAGTGGTCACCTCAGGTTTAGAATGCAGTGTATCCCCCTTCCGAGTGTTTTGCCTTTTCTTCCTTCAGTCCTAACTCTCTCTCTCTCTCTCTCTCTCTCTCTCTTGCTCTCCACACACACACACACACACACACACACACACACACACACACACACACACACACCCCTTTAATCCTTCCATTCTAATCCTGCCCCACACCTGTTTTCCTGGGGCAGCATAACAGCCCATTACTTGTCTGTTTACTGCCAACATTAAACACTGAATGTTCCCTAAATACTTCTTACTCAATGACCACTCAATATAAAGCAAATACTTATAGCTCCTGTTCTTAATGTCTTTATGATATTCATAGGAAAAGAGTCATACGTCATAGGAAGTAATCATGTTCTTATTCACTCCTGGGATAAGGAAACCACAGTCCCATGATGAACCACATTTCCCTCTACCTGCAGACTTCTCCAGAGTTGTCCATCCCAAGTGAGGGAGGGAGAAGGGAGAGGTACTGTGCTCAGTGCTTCCTAGGTAGTATTGGGGGATGATAGTGAGAGGCATCTGCTGGCCCTGGTCAGAGCTGCTCAGAAGTCAGGGAATCCTATTTTTCTGGAAGGTCTTAGACTCAAGATCTTTGCCAATTTAACTCATGTTCTTGGAGCAGGACAGTATTTAAACGGATTTTAATTCTAAGGCTGACAATGAAGTATGGCCTGTTGGGGTGAAATTATACTATTGTCAGTCACCCATTCAATCGGTTAATTATCATGCCTGGTAATGATTGTGTGCATGGCTCTGAATTCTATTAGAGGTTTTAACCTGAATGTAGGGAGTACAGCTACATTCATTCATAACTCAGAGGCTCAGCATTCATGATATCATAAATGCTAACTGCTCACATTTTCAAAAGTCAGATTTTCGCATCAGGATGCCCACTCATTCCATCAACTGTCTTGTGAGCGTATAACCACTTAGTAAATACATCCCTGGAGAAACATATTCTGAGTGGTGCATGCAGCTGCTCATACTGTCTAGACCAAGTGGCTCCTTTGGAGGAATTCAGAGAAGGAGGAGGTGAAAGTCTGTTTGTTCGGAGCTCCACACCATGAGAAACACGGTACAAGGCTATCTACTCTGTGCTCGATACTCTTCCAAGATCGACATGCATATGCCTTTGAAGAGTCTAGACCCAAAAACAAGTCCAATACAGGCATTCCATACTAAAATCGTCTGTATCTTTTGCATAGCAGCCAGCACCAAATCTAATGTATATCATTTACCTAATAACACTCAATTTGTTAGCTCAGCAGACATTTCCTATCAAAGATTAAATGGGATCTAACATGACAATCACTTAGAGGAGGAACTATATAAATGCAATGCAAGATATTCACTATTTTTCACCTCAACATAAAGACTTTAGTGGCCATTAAATAAGGGACTCACTGGCATAGCCCTCTCCCTGGCTCATTTATACATGCCACTTGATTGGTGCTCTCCCTTCAACCTCCAAAGTAAGCAACTTCCTGTCACATCCTCAGCACACTTAAGTAGAGAGCTGTTTTCCATATTAGGCTCACCATTACTTGCTCCTGTAGCAAAAAGGACTCCATTTTCACCAATATCACCACAAGTCAGCTCAACTCCAAAGCCATGAGGGTCTAGAATATGGTATATTTGGAGGCCGGTATCCAGTTCCCAAACCTGTAAAGAGCAATAACAAAATCAAGTAATTCATACATGCACACTTTGATTCTTACCACATTTTTTAAAACCATATTCCAAGCAATCTCCAAATCCATTCTCTCCACCTCTCACACCCTGCCCAGCACTCTGGCCTAAATATTGGTTTGGCTCAAGAAAGTTCTAACAGATATATGCTGTCCACTAGCTGATTCCCTGCTCCTGCAGCATGACAGCTGCAAATTTAGGTGGCTGAGGCAACCAGTGACTGATCCACACTGTCCCTGGCTGGGGAAAGTAGTCAGCTGTTACTTGCTGTAGCAATGACCCTCCAAGGCCCCCCATTCTTTTTGGTCCGTTGTGGGGCTTGAACTCTGGGCTTATGTGCTGTCCCTGTGCTCTTTAGCACAAGGTGAGTGCTCTACCGCTTGAGCCACAGCACCACTTCTGATTTTCTAGTGGTTTATTGGAGATAAGAGTCTCATGGACTTTCCTGCCCGGGCTGGCTTTGAACTGGGATCCTCAGATCTCAGCTTCCTGAGTAGCTAGGATTACAGGTGTGATCCACTGGTGCCCGGCTTCCAAGACCCTTGGATGAAGGCTCACTCCTCAGCATGGTGTTATTGGGAGTGTGTGAAACCTTGGGTAGGGCTCAGTGGGAGATTTTAGATCAGTGAGGATGGACCCTTGAAGGGTTATTAAGACCCTGGCTTCTCCATTTCTCTCTCACCTCCTCACTGCCAGAAGATGAGCTACTGGCTCCTCCTGACACTCCTGTTGTCAAGTGGTGCTTCGCCACAGGCCCCCAAGCACAGGATCAACAACTGAAACCACCCAAACCATAGACAAAAATAAGCCCTTACACTTTTTAAAGCTGACTATCTCTGGCATTTGGTGACAGTAACACAAAGCTAACACAGCACTATAGGGAGTAACACAAAGTTAGCATCAGGTAGAAACGTAGCAATTAAAAGTGCAGCAGATAAAAACAATCAAACCTAATTTATTTCCTAGTGACTATCATTCAGATAAGCTGGGATTGTGACCATGTGGTGAACAGCATGTCATATGGGAAAACCCTCAGGAAAAGCTCAGCAGTCATTCTAAGTGGTTCTCTCATTAGATAGACAAGGAGAGGGTAAAAGACCCAGAGTGGGGGCCATTTGTAGATGGGGAGGGATGTAATCAGAAAAATCTCAAAATCTATCAAGAAGCATTCTGCCCTCAAAGCAGACACTCTGAAAACATTACAAAATGGAATAGGAGAAACCCTAGGTCTCCTTGGCTCAGGCCGAAATTTTCTGAATAGAGACCCGGAAACACAACAAATCAAAGAAAGGTTGGACAAATGGGATTGCATAAGGTTGCAGAGCTTCTTCAGGGCAAATGACATAGCTAGCAAGATCAATAGAAAGCCCACGGATTGGGAGAAGATCTTTACTAGCCATACAACGGACAAGGGTCTCATATCTAAAATATACTTGGAACTCAAAAAATTAAACCACCCAACAACAAATCCTCAAAGAAACAACTGCCCAATAAATAAGTGGGCGAAAGACTTAAAGAGAAGCTTGAAGAAGAAAGAAGGATGGCCAATAGACACATGAAGAAATGTTCAACATCCTTAGCCATAAAAGAAATGGAAATCAAAACAACATTGAGAAATCACCTCACTCAAGTTAGAACAGCAAAAATCAAGAACTCTAACAACAACAGATGCTGGAGGGGATGTGGACAGAAAGGAACCTTACTTCATTGTTGGTGGGAATGTAAATTTGTTCAACCACTTTGGAAAGCAGTATGGAGGTTCCTCAAAAGACTTCACATAGAACTCCCCTATGACCCAGCAATCCTAGTTTTGGGCATTTACCCTAATGTTTACAAAAAAGACCACACTAAAGCTACCAGCACAACTATGTTTATTGCAGCATTATTTACCATAGCTAAGATATAGAACCAACCCAGATGCCCCTCAGTAGATGAATGGATCAAGAAAATGTGGTATATATACACAATGGAATTCTATGACTCCATCAGAAAGAATGACATTGCCCCATTTGTTAGGAAATGGAAAGGCTTGGAAAAAATTATATTAAGTGAAGTAAGCCAGGCCCAAAGAAACATAGGTCCCATGGTTTCCCTTATTTGCAATATCTAGTATAGGTATGAGTCAAGCGGAAAAGGTCAGATAACGTGATGTTAGGAAAATGAACCCTTTAATATGTATTTCAATGTTTTCATTTCTTTCATGCATGTGTTTCTAACGCATTTATAAGATTATTTCTTTGTTGCTTAGTATGTCCCTCCCCCACAGTGTAACCCCCGCTTTCACTATATTTGATGTGAGTATAACATGTGGAGGAGTTGGGGACAAACAAGTCGTTTAAGGATTCAGGTGGACCTGTTGCAACAATGAGAAGTACAAAATGTCATGTCAAAACCAGCTTTACAATGTCGGTGTGTGGGGGGGAGGGGGGGTATGATTGGGTGGGGGGGAGGGGGGAGGCTGGGAAGGGAGGTGAAGGGTAAACAAAGGAGGAGGCTGCAATGCTTGGTAAGAAATGTATGCATTATCCTGCCCATGTAATTGTAACCCCTCTGTACAGTATGTTCTCAAATAAAATAAAATTAAATTAAAAAAAAAAGAAGCATTCTGCCAAACATGGTAGCATATACTTGTAATCCTAGCACTTAGAAGCCAAGGAAGGAGGATTGTGAGTTTGAGGCTAACCTGAGCGGCATATTGAGTCCCTGTCTCAGAAAAGAAAAAAAGAGATTTGCACTGTGGTGGCTCATACTTGTTATTCGTGCCCTAGGGCACTACTTTAGGCACTACTGTAAATAGGTGAAGATGCATTGCACTCCAGTGGATTGGACCTGAGAGAATTTCCAGAAGATGATCATAGAAAGTCAGACGTTGAGGCTTCCTGGAGTAATGCCTGTCTGTCACTCCATAGTCTCCTCTCAGAGAGAATGCATGAAATAAAAGGAAGGACATATAATGCAAACACCTCTGGCCATTGCTACCAGTGATTTCAGTGGTTGTAATGACAGACACAACATCACGGCTAAGCATCATGCCTATAAGCCCAGCAGTGATAAGATTGGAGGGATAAAGCATAAAAGTCATGGGTGTTAGCCAGGTGCTGGTGGCTCCAGCCTGTAGTCCTAGCTACTTAGAAGACTATGAACAGGAGGATCACAATTTGAGGCAAATCCAGACAGAAAAGATTGTGAAACCCCTTCTCAACCCATAGTTGGACATGGTGGCTTGTACTTGTCAAATTAAGCCATGTGGGAGGCTGAGATTGAGAAGATTGAGGTTAAGGCCAGTTCAGGTAGAAAAGTTCACAGGATCTTTTCTTGGTAGCTGGGTGCAGTGGCACACTACAATTGGGAAGTCTAAAAGAGGTAGGTCATGCTGAGACTCTATTTGAAAAATAATTAGTGCAAATGTACGCATTATCCTGCCCATGTAATTGTAACCCCTCTGTGTAGTATGTTCACAAATAAAATAAAATTAAATTAAAAAAAATGCAATGAGTTAAAAAAAAAAAGAAAAAGAAAAATAATTAGTGCAAAAAAAAAAAAAAGATCTGAAGAAGTGGCTTAGTGGGAGAGGAAGTTCTTAGCAAGCACAAGGCCCTGTGTTTGAATTCTTGCTACTGCAAAAAATTAAAACTAAAAGAATTCAAATAGGTATGTCAAATAAACCCCCTTTGATCAACTATTCAGAGATAATAATAATGAGGAGGAAGAAGATGAGGAAGAATAGAAGAAGCAGAAGAAGCAGAAGGAGGAGAAGTAGTTATGGATGAGTAAGACAGACAAACCCAGACACATCTACCATCCTCACACTTACTAACTTAGATGAGTGGCCTGAGATGAGTCACTTTTCTCTCTGAGCCCAGGTTTCCTTATCTTGAAAATGAGGATCTTTTTAGAGAACTATATGAGATTATAGATGTAATCAGCTTGGCACAGATGCTGTATCTGCGTGAGTTGAGTAAACATTTCAAAGTTTCTTGTTCTTGCTTTTTGGCATGGATCCTGCAATCATATCTCAGTTAAAATGGAAACTTGATTTATTTCCTCTAATTTTTTTTTAATAGATAAAGCTGGGTTTTGTGCCGGTCGCCAGTGCTCACTCCTGTAATCCTAGCTACTCAGGAAGCTGAGATCTGAGGATCGCAGTTCAAAGCCAGCCCAGGCAGGAAAATCCATGAGACTCTTATCTCCAATAAGCCACCAGAAAACCGCAAGTGGTGCTGTGGCTCAAGTGGTAGAGCACTGGCTTGAGCTGAAATGTTGAGGGACAGCACCCAGGCCCAGAGTTCAAGCCCCATGATTGAAAAAAAAAAGTGGGTTTATTTATGGATTTATTTATAATCAAGCTCATGGCTGGGTGACATGAATTATGAGCTGGCTTAAAATATTTGTTTTTCATGTACTGATGGAAGCTTAGAAAGTGCAAAGAGGGGCATGGCCGTTCATCCTTGGAATTCATTTTTTGGGAGGCAGAGGTAGGAGGATGGCAGTCTAAGGCCAGCCCTGGAAAAAGCATAGGAAGGCTCTCATACTAAAAATAGAGTGTGGCACAAGTATTAGAATACCTCCTGATAAGGGCAAGGCCTGAGTTAAATTGCCAGTATCCCCCAAAGTAAAAGCGCCCCAATATACAGTCATGCAAACCATCGCATCCATTTCACCATGAATGATTTATCTGTGAGAAAGTCTTTTTGTTCTATCTTTTTCTGAGGAGACAGTATGTACTCACCTTAATTATGGACTCAGAGCAGATTGTGAGCACTTGGTGGAAGTTTTTGTTATAAAGCATGACATTGATTTCCCTTTCATGAGTATGAGGAATCTGTTTTGTGTCTTGTACCATCCTGGTCAAAGGATACATGTCCATAACACTGGATCCTGGCATAGATATAAGCACAGAAATGGTAGGACAAAGGGTGAACTAATTCAGCAGTGACACTAGATGCTATGTTGAAATAAACTATACAACTTGGAGAGGAAGGGGACCAGGAAATTGTGGGGAGGGGACATTTTTCAAAATGAAATGTACTCATCACCTGACTTACATGATGGGAACACCTCTGTACATCACCTTTAAAATAAAAAACTCAAAAAAAGTTTCATAAATGTGCAACACTAGACATTTGGAATCACAAAGAATTTTACACAACCAGTTGTGCTTAGAGATAACTAGTTAGTAAAATTAGCAATATCAATGCTGAGGGAATTCAATGCATTCATTTCCTCTTTAGCATTTATGAAAATACATTCATTTCCTCTAAAGCATTTATGACAAATATAGTCAGAGGAAAGTATTCATTCATGACTTCATTATTTTTTTAAGCACAGGTCATTTTGACCCTGATCTGCTCATTTGTATAGTCTACTTTTGCCTTCTTTATCATGTATCAATGCATCTCTATCTGATGCATAGCCATGAAGTTGCACAGATTCCTCCTGAAGACAGACTTCCTCTTTGCGATTGACATGGGGTATTTCAAAGCCTTTTTCAACCAGCCAAGAATAAAGCATTCTGCGATTAAATACAGTGAATGAAAATGATTGCAGGCCTGTGCTTGTACCCTCAATAGTAAATAAGATTAATTTGCAAATTACCATAGTGATAGATGCAGTCTGCGTGGCCAGGAGATGCAGAACAGCTGTTCTTCTTTTTTGTAAAGCTATTTGATTTTGTTTTACTGTTATATTATAAAGCACTAGTATTATTTCACACTCAAAAAGCAACTGATTATGTGTTCTGTTTCATTATAACTTCTAGAAAGACTGATAAAAGTTCCAAAGTATTCTGTCAATCGAACAAAAATGAAACTGCACCCTCCCATTTTGTTGATGTGGAGATTAGGTTTACAACAGTAGAATCTGCAATTGGTTCTCCAATCTCTTCAGATACCTCAATTTTGATTAGGCACAGTAGCTCAAGCCTGTGGTGACTTGAGAGAGGACACTAGAGGATTGTAGTTTGAGGCCAGCCAGGCAGAAAATGTTCTTGAGACTCCATTTCCAGCATGGTGCTGCTTGCCTGTCATCCCAGATATGGGGGAAACCCCATGGCTTGTCATCCCTAGTGATTCAGGGAGACACAAGTAGCAGTATCGCAGTGCAGGTCAGCCCAGGCAAAACATGAGGCCTATCATGAAAATAACCAATGCAAAAATGACTGGCAGAGTAGCTCCTCAAGTGGTCAAGTATCTGCTTAGCAAGTGCAAAGCTCTGAGTTCAAATCTCATCACCCCCCCAAAAGAAGTCTCACAACTTTAAAACTTTTAATAGGAGTTACTGATCATTTTGCTAAGGTGTTTAGATTTTGCAATATGATCTGCTCATATATAAACAAGAACTGAGATGATTTATCTGGTAATATTTCTCAATTCAAAACTTCCACCATGAACATGAGAGGGTCCTATGGTAAACACATGATCAAACCAATCTTAGATCATCTCAGTAGGTTGTTTAACACGGTAATGACATTCACCATCTGTTTTCAGAACAGACCTCCACAAAGCAGGATCAGCCATGGAAAAGTGACCAATTGCTACTTTTTGGGGCTAGTTTGTATTGCAATAACAGATATAATGCAGAACAAAGAATGATTGTGGATTCAGGAGTTGGAAAGTCTAAGATCAAATCCCAGCACCACATTTCAATCTTCTACTAGGCAGGTGAACTATTTAGGATTTGGTCTTGCCATTTATCTAATAGGAAATCAGTAATTCTTGCCTCATATAGTAGTTGTGTAGATAAAATGAAAAATAAAAAGCCTAAAGAGTTGTTGCTTCAATAAGCATAATGATGGTAAAGACAGTAACAATGACAAGTCTACAAAGATCTTAGATTTCAGCGCTTCAGTCCCAAGGCTTAGAAAACTCCAGGGTGACTTCAAAGCACAATGTACTAAAATTGCATGAAATTCTAGTGTCAAGCTGATGGCTGTGGTCAATGTATGCCATTTCAATCATTGAGCAAAACCCAGGTTTCTGCATTTCTGCAAGCAGAAGCAGTAACAAAGGTCTATAAAATTGGAGGAAAACTTGATAAGTCAAGTGGGACTGGACTGGGTAGGAGGAGGGGAGAATGATAGAAGGAGCAACTCTCATCAAGACGCACTGTACATATAAATGGACATGCTAAACGGAAACCCCTCATACAACTATATTAATGTCTTCTTCAAAAAAAACAGGAAGAAATCTTGAGTTTTCTGTTCCTCTATCTTTGTATGTAGTCCTTTGTTATTCTAAAGATAAATGCGATGGAAACGAAGAAGCAAGCCAGTAATCAGACACTCGAGTTGATGTGCTAGGAGAACATTTGTGTACAGTAATTGGAACATTCTGGAGGAGATCAGAGAGATAAGGGGTGCTTACAGTTGAAACTAAGTTCTATTTTACAAGATGGAAAATTATTTCTTGAGGATGAGTGCTAATTCATTCCTAAGCCAGGCAAAATAAAGATGAAATTTAAAGATAACTGTATTCTAAAAATAATATTTTGTGTTCACTACCAGCAATCATTCCCCTGCCTGTATTCTAAAAATGATATTTGTATTCACTACCAGCAATCATTCCCCTGCTTTGATTAATCCCAGTGGGCCTCAGAGCAGTGCTCAGTGTGAATATGCCTCAGAAATGCAACTCTGGCTTAGTGTTCTAGAAAGAGGAAGAACAATTATACAATTTGCTTTTCTTCTGAAGCCAATGGGTACACATAAGACAGTGTTTGACCTAAATGCTTAACAAGGTATCTTGTATCCAACCCCCAATCTGTTGACACAGCACTCGGGATCTGGCATCCTGGACCCTGTTCTTTCTCTGAATGCTGTTTCCTATTTAGAAGCAAAGGTTGTTGGGAGAGTCTGTACCCATTTACTGAGTGCTTTCTCACCAGGATGCCAGGCCAAATTGTCTCATGGCAGAGATAGGCTCATGCTGGGGCATCCTGCGTTCACCATTCTAAGACACGACCACAGTTACTTTCCCAATTGTCACAACAGAGCCGTAGACACAGCACCAAGTTCCAACCCCTGCTTTTCTGCTCTACCTACGTTGAGCATTCCTAAGTCCAAAACCTTAAAGAATGAATCTGGTATTTTGGGAAAAGTAGTTACATGCTTCATCTACCTACCCATAAACAACAGGAAAGAGTGGTTGAAAGAAATATCTACTGAATTTAATAAGTCACATTTTGTCATTTCTCTGCCTCAATGTTTTTGTTTGTTCCATAGTGAGCCTAAATGCTATATTTTAAGGGTTTATACAATTTGTTGGATGTTGATTTCTTTTTTATTTAATTTTTAATTGTTATTACAAAGATGATGTGCAAAGGGGTTACAGTTACATAAATCAGGAAATGAGTACATTTCTTTTGGGGGGGGGCAGCAGGCAAGGTCAGAGAGAGAGAGAGAGAGAGAGGAGTACATTTCTTCTTGGACAGTAGTACCCTTTCTCTCACTCTCTCTGCTATCATTCTTTGAAGTAAAAAATAAAGATACAAGGCTCATTTCCCATTGTTTGATTGCCCATACCTGTGATAAGCATGCCATGCATGGCATCATATACCATAGAGTAAATCTGCATGTCTCCTGGTCCTCCCTGGGAGTCGTGGAAGACTTGTAACAGGGAAAGTGTCTGTATGTCCCACACTCGGAAAACCTGGAGGAATGAAGCAGAAAGAAGCATTTTTAGGTACAATATATGCTTTTCTACACTTGCAGCAAAGTATGTTTTATGTCATGACCTCAGGAACACACTTTCACTAAAGTGGTTCTTGGTTTGTATATTGTTCATTAAGATCAGAGGAAAATGGCAATGGTTTAAAGTTGCACTTAGAGGTATATCTTTGGAAACTGGATTTTTGCTTCTTTACTTTCTTTCAGTTCCTTGCTCATTGCTGGTTCCCTAGTACCTGAGCCATGTCTCCAGCCTGGCTTTTTGCTGGTTATCTGGAGATATAGTGTCAGGGATATTTACTAAGCCCTCTGAGTAGCTAGGATTACAAGTGTGAGCCACCAAGCACCCAGCTTCGAAACTGGAGTTTTCCATAGAAAGGAAACTGCATTTATTGCTATTTAATTATTTGGAGGAATAACAGAAGATTGGTCATGACTTGCAGTTAGTTTCAAGGAGAGGCTGTATCATTCATACTGAGGAAGGGCCTCCTCACCAGGATGCATGGGGCCATAGAGCTCAAAGCAAACATGGACTCGTACTGCTGCATCCTGGGGCCACCACACTAAATAACACACAAACATGTCCACTATGGATGACGCAAAACACAGAGAAAGGTGCCATGTTGGGTGAAAGATTTAAAATGGTTCTTTCATGATTTATGGAGATGAACAGACTAGGAAAACAATGAGGTACTAATTCAGCTAAACTTAATTTTACACAAAGTTTACACTTTGTTACCTTAAATAACTAGTCATAGCATTTGTCCTATTCTGAATTTTTACCAAGTTATAGTATGATGGAAATTCAAAACTAAGTGTGATTTGGTTAAGAATTATTACATTTCCTAGCAGTATATCAGTCCTAATGATATTTTCAAATAGTAATAATTATAATTTACCAATTAAATTGGAGTACAAATGCTTCTGGACTTATAATGAAGTTATAGCCCAAGGAACTCAGCAGAGGTAGAAACTATTGTATGCAATAAACATCTTAGTTTAGGTAGTCCAAAATAAATGTGCTCAGATCACTTATAGTAGCCTGCAGCTGTATGAAAAAAAATCATTTAACCAAAACCTCATTGTATAGTAAAGTGGTTGAATGTCTTCTGTAATTGATTAAACAGAGTGTGTGGGAAACTGTATATCCACATGTTGAATATTAAAACTAGGTCTCTATCTCCCACTTGGTACAAAGATCCATTCAAAACAGATCAAAGGGGGCTGGGAAGGTGGCTTAGTGGTAGAGCACTTGCCTTGCATACATGAGGCCCTGGGTTCGATTCTTCAGTACCACATAAGCAAAAAGAAAAAAGCTGGAGGTAGCACTTTGGCTCAAGTAGTAGAGCACTAGCTTGAGCTGAAGAGCTGAGGGACAGCGTCCAGGCCCAGAGTTCAGGCTCCACGACCAGACCCCCCCCCCCAAAAAAACAAAAAAAACCCCAAAAAACAGATCAAAGAACTAAATGTACAGATCAAAGAACTAAATGCACAAGTCAAAGAACTAAATTAAGACATGAAACTTTGAAACTACGAGAGGACAACATAGGAAAAACACATCAGGATGTAGGCATACATAAATCCTGAGTATATCTCCAGTAGCTCAAGAAATAAGACTATGATTTGACACATGGAACTATATTTAAAAAAAACTTCTGCACAGAAAACTATCAACAGAGTTAAGAGACAGCTACAGCATGGGAGAAAAATCTTTCCCACCTATTCATCCGATAGAAGATTAATATCTTGGATCTATAAAGAATTCCAAAAAGTTTAGAAAAGAATAAAATGCAGTGGATAAACCAGAAATGATCTCTATAGACAATGGTCTATAAATAAATGGGAAAATGTACATTATATTTGCCATCAGAGAAATGCAAGTCAAAACATTGATGGCTATCAGCAAACAACAGCAACAAATGTTGGCAAGGATGTGGAAAACAACGAACCCTCATCCACCATAAGAATGAACTTGTTCAAACTACTCTGTATGGAATTATGACAAAGCCTCTTATGTTGTTACTGTATGCTTCTTCAACAAAATTATTATACCTTCTTAAGATTAACAAGGACTGGGAACACACCTCAACTAACAAGCTAAAAGCTCTTAAGTCATTCCCAGTGCCATTGAAATGTCAATGAAAACAACAAAAATGCATTTCAATTAGTTAGCTCTCCAATTTAAAAGTTCTACCACCTAATTCCAATACTTGTTCATGTTAATAGCAATTAGACATTATAACATGGTGAGATGCTCACTTGTCTTCTCTTTTGAACTGGATGTTGCTCAAGGGAGAAACTGCCTCTAATTTGGCTTTGTTCCCAGACAGTTATGTATGGTCTTTGGTTTGGATTATTATTTGGTTTTGGTCTGTTTACTTGCCTCTTCTGTCTTGGTCCAACAGTACTTTACCATTACTTGGCACGACCTAGACAATACCATTTTCTAAAGCATAGTTTACTTACTTTGTTCTTAGGTGGCCACAATGCACCAGCGACTTTGGGAGAAGAGAAAGATTTATAAATAAGGCCTGAGTCCCTTTTTATATGCCCTAGTCTTCTATCCTATGTCTTTTGTCTTATATCCTAGACTTTTGATAGCTCCAACCAAGGGTTCACATTGTTCTCATGGAAGCTGGCAAGGGTTCGGAAGCTTGCAAGAACCCATATGGAGCCAAGTCAGCCCTGAAGGGGCTTGGGAAGAAAACACAGAGAAAACATTTCAGAATGGGACTGCGTTAGTGTAGTGAGAAAATCAGAGAATAAAACAGCTTCCATTAAACATATCATGGGGGTAGCAGAGTAATTTATAATATATGGTATAATATATGTGTACATCATACACTAAATGTGACATCTATGCAAGTAAATTTAAATTATAAAAATCCAAATAATAATAATAAAATAGTGCTGATTTTTCAAACAAATTGAGAGTGCAAAAATTAGATGGAAGAATTTTTAACATTGAGAAAAAGATTGCATTGTCAGGCTGATTTAAAGTTTGAGGGTAGACCATGAACTAAAGTCGAAAATCACAAATGCCAAAGAAAAAGACAAGTGAAAATGCTTTGCCTGCAGTCATTTATGAGAATAATTAATAAATAATGATGAAGCTGAAGTCTGACAATAAGAATGTACATGTTCAGAATACAGATTGGTTTGATTCAGCAAAATGTTTCCTGGCCTTTCTTCTTCCAAACTTCAAACCAATCATGCCATCCAAATGTATTAATAAAATATTGCTGTTTCTTGGTGAGTGTCTGTATTAGAATGACTAGAGGAGAATACTGCATCTAATTTTTAAAGGTTGGCCTCAGGTCTATAAAAAAAAGGCATATGTCCTAGGATAAAAAAATATAACACATAGCAAGGCACTTGTGGCTCACACTTGTAATCTTAGCTACTCAGAGGCTGAGATCAAGAGGATCATACTTGGAATCCAGTCCAGGCAGAAAAGTCCATGAGACTCTATCTCTGATTAACCAGCAAAAAAGCCAGGCTGAAGACATGGCTCAAGTGGTAGAGTACCAGCCAAGCAAAAAAATCCAAGCAAATTCTAGGCTTTCAGTTTAGAGTACCAGCCAGGCAAGCAAATCCAAGCAAATTCTAGGCTTTCAGTTCCATCTTCAGTATCAACAAAATAAATTAATTAATCAATTAATCATACAATTTCCCCATTCATTCAATAAATATGGAACTGTGGGTGAAGTACATGAGAGACAATGACCAACAGAAGCACTATTACTTTTCTTGAAGATTGGAGTCCAGACAGATCATAGGTAGAGGACAAATACAGCATTGTCAGAAATACTTGAATGGGAATATGAATATCACACAGTGGTAAAAATTGCACCATTAATTGTCATCTTCAGGTAACTGCTTCACAATGAAAGTATTGTTTAGATAGACAAAAGGTTGTGGGGAAATTTGCCTTTTTGCTAGTTTTATGGCTTGAACTCACGGTCTTAATCACTCACTCACTCTTACCTTTTTCACTCACAGATGATGCTAATTTGATCCACACTTCCAATACATTAACCATCAGGTTAGATGGAGATGATGTTTTACAGGTATTTCTGCCTGGGCTGGATTTGAACCACTATCCATCCAGATCTCACTTTTCTGAGTAGCTAGGATTACAGGTGTCAGTCAACATGCCCAGGATCACCCATATTTCTAGTGAAAGTGTCAGGAAAGCTTCTGAGAAAAGAGTACCAGTCATTTCCAGGGAGAGAATAACCAAAGTTTTCCATTTTCTGATGTCAGGGAACCTGAGACTTGCCCTGACTTCCAAGTTCCACCAAATGGCTATCAGAGGTTAGTGAGCTTTTTAGTCTCCAAATGAATCAAGTCAGGGTCACTCACTGGATTACATGATTTGACATTGTCTGTGTAGGAAACTTAAGGCAAAAGTGTATTAACCACATTCAAGTAACTTAATAAGTGTCTTAGCATTGTGGGACTGAACTTATTAATTTTATTATCTTTTTTTTGCCAGTCATGGTGCCTGAACTCTGGGCCTGGGCACTGTCCCTAAGTTCTTCAGCTCAAGGCTAGTGCTCTGCCACTTGAGCCACAGCGCCACTTCCAGCTTTTTCTGCTTATGTGGTGCTGAGGAATCGAACTCAGGGCCTCAGGCATGCAAGGCTAGCACTCTACCACTGAGCCACCTTCCCAGCCCTAATTTTATTATCTTGTTCCCACATTTTTTCCTGTGTGATAACTAACAAACAGGAAATGAGAGGGAGACACTAATACGTGTTTAATTACCTTTCCCCCCCAAAATATTTCTTTATTGAGATTACATGACTACATAAATTTCACAATACTGTGGCATAGTTATAATTAGCTAAAGTCACAAATACCTTTTAATCTTCACAATGATAGTTCTCATTCTCTTACTCTACATTGCTTATGAACTCTATGGCCTTTAACAATAAAACTTTTTCGGGTGATACATACATCTCTTTCCTTTTGCTTGGT